CTATATAGAGGTTTTAATTTATATTAATAAGCTTATATACCAATAAATTTAATTTCCTCCCTTAAATGTTTTTCTATTGGGAGGCTACTAGGGCTTTACTTTAATATTTTTAAGGAGGATATTATTTTCGGTTTTAAATTTTAGGTGTAGTAATATATAGATTATTAAGACCCTCTAATTAGTACCTTTATAAGTATTAAGCGTAAGAGGAAAATATTAGGCTTAATAAGAAAATTGATTTAAATCGGAGATAAATAGTAATATAATAATACTACGATTTCCTCTTCCGCTTTCGGGCAATAGGAGCGTCCTTATTAGATAATTTACTAATTTAGTAATAGTAGGTTTAATTAATACAATAATACTTCAATTTAATTTATTAGCTAATTTGAGTAGGAAATTTTCGGGACGGATTTTGGGGACGGATTATTTAGGAACGGATTATTCTACCCTATTCTTAATTATAATATAGGGATATTCGGGGGTATAAATATCTAATAAGTAGAAGTGAAATTCTAGGATTTATTGAAAATTAATTATTGCGAAAGTATTTGCTAAGGATATTTTTATTAATTAAGAGTAGGAATAACTATGGTTGGATTATATTGCGGGAAATATTGGACTTAGTGAATAATATAAGTTTCTAGCCTATTGATTTGGAGCGTGGGAATTATTAAACTTAGTAAATAAAATAAGCCTCTGGCCTATTGATTTGGAGCGTAGCAAATAATTATATTAGTCCGACAGGGAAAATATATAGTAACTTATGAAGGAAACCTTAATCTCAATTTATATAGTGATATAGCGCGTAGTTACCCTACAATCTACCGAGGAGCTAACGTTATATATATACTCTCTCTTAGCTCTAGTTAAACTTTATTTAATTAATAATTTAAAAAGAACTATTTAATACTAGGAAGTACCCTATAAACGTTAGCGGTTGGCCTATTAATTTGGAACGTAATTAATAACTATACTAGACCGACGAAGGGAGCGCGGGGACGAAAAAAAAACCGTTATTAGATAAAATAAATAATTATTTTAAAAGTTTTAATTCCAGTTTAGTTGACGAATAAAACTCGGAATATAATACCTAATTTAATTAAGAATTAGCTATCCCGGACCCAACTCTATCGACGGGTAGGGTAAGAATTAGGAAAATTAAGGATTTTACTAAATAAGCCTCTAAATAATCTAATTTATTTTATTACTTTAATTGACACTTATATCTCCAAAATGAACTTTTAACCCTTATTTCTATATATACCGCTACTAGGTTTTTCCTCGTACGATTTTTTCCTAAATAATAGTAGTTTCTTAACGGAAAGCGCAATTTAATCCCTACGTTCTACTTTAAGGAATTTCGAACCTCGAGGGGCGTAGAAGGGTAATTCCCCCATACTATTAGGCTAGCGGCTTACGAATTACTACTTAAAGGCATAGGGAAGAAAGCCTACTAGTACGCTATTAGGTTAGCGCCTTTAATTTACTAATAAAATAAAGTCAAACTATTTTACTATTACTTTTTAACCAAATTTAATTCTTATTATTATATTATTTACCTTGTTTTTTTCATTGTTCCTATTATTCGTATTACTATTCTTCTTATTATTAGGTAATTAGCTAATAACGCCCCTTTAGAAACCAGAATATAAAACTCAAACCTTCTTATTAAACCTTTTTTTTAATTTATTATTTATTATATTATTTACTTTAGTCCTAACTATTTTTTATCTTCATTTTTATTCCTTATTCTAATTAATTGGTCCTTACTATTCCTCAATTGCCATATCCTCTAAAATATTGAATATAGTCCTTAATTTCTTCTATATTGTTCGGAAGTAAAAAATTCACTTTCATCCTCTCTTTTACCCTTTCCTTCGCCCTCTCTTTTACCCTCTCCTCTACCCTCTTTTCTATCCTCTCTTTTACTTTCACCCTCTTCTTTACCCTCTTCTTTACTTTCCCTATCTTTCCTCTTTTTCTTCTTATTCTTCCACGTATTATACGTTAGACTAAGCAAACTATAGTCTAGAATAGCCTCTTCAAGACCATTAGAGTCTAATAATTCTTCGTCAGCCAATGCATTCTTAGAAATAAAAGAAATTCCCACCTCTTTATTATTCTCACTACCTTCCTCATCACTCTTACTACTTTCTTTATTACTACCTTCCTCTTTACTACCTTCCTTCTTATAACCTTCTTTATTACCTTTACTACTATTATTGTCTAAAGTATAATAGCCAATAAAATTACTAAGTGGCTTTAATATAGATTTTACAACATTTATACGCTTCTTAATATCTATAAAGAACGAAGGTTCTTTAGAACGTCCGAAGAATTTTTATTTAATATTTAAAAGTATAAAATCTAAATTATAACTCTTAATCCTACAAAAGGCTTCGAAAGATTACTATACCAATCTCTTATAGGCTCCTATTACCTTATTCTCCTTCTTCTTCTTCCAAATATTATACTCTACTTCGAATTCTTTTAATTATTTTCGTACTTCCTTAAATTAAATTAAAGTTTACTTCGAACGATCCTTTTTTATTTATTTTGTAGCGTATTTATTATTTGCGCGCTAAATATTTAATATAATTACGTTATTAATAATCTAGCCTTGTAGTTTAACCTTTCTTCGAATAGAAGTCTTTTTAATTATATTATTGAGACAGCTATTCTTATCCTTTACAACTTTATTAAAATAACTTTTATACGTAGCGCCTTCGTTAAAACGAACTTTTACATTAATAAACTTTTTTGCTAGGTTATTAACTAACTAATTAAATTTTTGAAGAACTTTATTAATCTAGGGGATAATCCTCTTTAATAATTCAATAGTCTCGTATACTTCAATCTATCGTTCTAAATTAGAATTTATTTTAAACTATTAAAAGATAAATTGCTTTACTATATTTTACTAAAGTTTACTAATAATTATTTCCGGATTAATAAGCGATAGCCTAGTATTTTGGAAGTTATTTAAAATATAAGCTCTAATAAACACAATGTTAAATATATATTAACAAAGTAAATAGACTTAGTATATAAATAAAAAAAAGAAAGAGGTAAATAAACTTACGTTAAAAGCTTATATAAAATCATTAGAATCGAATTGAAGGTTTCTTACTCGAATGTAATCCCGTAATATTTTTTAATATATATATTTATTATACTGAAAAACGCCTACATTTATAGGTTATAGGAAATAAAAAGAATAAAGGGGGAGAAAAATAATAATAATATCGAATTAGAAGTAATATTAAAAGAGTTTAATACTATAGTAACCGGAAAGTATATTAAGTAAAAGAAGGCGATATTCTTTATTGCCTAATTTTGTACGGAAAGTATCTTTATTAAAATTTATAATTTATTCTCTATTAAAATTAAAACCAAACTAATTATTAAAATTTAACCTATAGCGTTTAACTTTAATATAATACTTCCAAAATTGCTTATTAAAATACTTCACCCAATCTAATATAATATTAGCGTTATTAAACGCTATTTTAAAGACGTTAAACTTCATCTCTAAATAAAAATCTTTAAAAAATCCCTAATTAATTATTAAATTAGTTTTAAAAATAGTATAAATTAGAATTAATTCGCTAACAACATTTCTAACGCCTATTAAAATTATTAATTCGCAATTAGTAAAGTCTATAATTTTAAGCTATAAAATAAAATAATTAATATATATTTTATAATAAAGGAATATAGAATTTATTTACTCTCCTCTTTTTTAGTACTTCAATAAATAAAATCTTATAATTACTATTAAATATAATTATCTAACAACCCATTTTATCGGCGTTCTAGAAGGCAAAAGAATTAATATAATACCTCTTCAAAATCTTTTTCAATAATTTAAAAAATTACCAGACGTACTCGATCTACTACTCTATAGAAAGCCTATCCACCTCTACTAGCTTAAACTTAATTAATTCAAACCAAGAATAGTTTACTTTCTATCTCTTATAGAAATTTTGGCTAACTTCTAGAACAGGAGATTTCCTACTAATTCTTATATTATACTTATTAATTATAGTAGCTAACTTAGGTTTTAGATACGCTGAATTTAGAAGCGGCATTTCGAATAATTAGAATTTTAAATAATAAATTTCCATTATCGTCGTTATTATCGTTAATATTATTACTAATTTGGCTCTATATAATTTAGCTCTATATAGTTTAGCTCTATATAGTTTGGCTCTATAGAACAATTTAGTTTCGTATAACTCTTTAATCAGAAGTTGGGACTTATATTATTTATTAAATTTATTGATTCTTTTTGCATTATTATTCTTAATAGCGATATTATTAGCGGTTAAGCTACCGAATAACCTATTTAACTAAAGGCTCGTCGGCATAAGCATCGGTATTAGTAATAGCGTTAATAGTAGCGTTAGTAATAGCATTAAAAGAAGAATTAGGGCAAAGGAGGCTCGATATAGGCTAGAGGATATTAAAATTTAATTAAGAACTGCCTAAATTATCCTTACTTAAATCTTTCCTAAGATCGGAATTATTAAAGTAGGGCATTGCAGTAAGGCATAGTAGATTGGCCAAGTAAAAATATATTAAATAAAGGTATAATTTTGGCGATCAGGCCCGATTTAATAAGGTTATAGCGTTATAAAATTAGTAAGAAACGCTATAACCCCAAAATAGAATATTTGGTTCTGTGACTTGTAGTGGGCTGGGTTTTGTAGTAAGACACGTGCAAGTAGGTTTATTGGATTGAGGAAAAGAAGAGGAAGAGAAAGAAGGTCAGATCAATTTTTTTAGTTAAGGATTAGTAGATTTATAGTACTGCAAAGTTGGAAGGTAGGGTTTTGCCCTATTTGGCCTACATTTTTACTATCCGTTGGGGTTTTATGATGTCCGGTAGTTTTGTAACCAACTCTGCCTAGCAGAATTGGGGAATAGATAGGAACTGCTCCACTTTCCCCAACGGGTAGGTGCTCTCATTAGTCTCTTATAACAGTCGTGCTCCGATGTCAGCCCCTATCCGCTCCGCCGCCACACGTGGCGCAGTCTCTTTGTACCCTGTGGGTCCAAATGGTGTGACATTATGATTGGTGGGTGGGTGAGTGTGGTGGGGATGTCACAACCATTTGGACCCGCAGGTACAAAGAGAAACGCAAGGGCCATGCGTAGGTGGCTGAGTAAATGAGACTATCTCATTTATAAACTGCATATCCGATTCCGTTTGTCGGGTGCCTTGGACAAGCATTGGAACTGGACGGACAGGCTCGTGGGTAGAAGACAGGAAGCCGCCTCGAGCCCGTCAACGGAACCTGAAGTGAAGGAAGGGAGGAGAAACAATGAATGTGAGATGCCCTGGCTGATCCAAGTTCGTGCTTCCGTCTAGCTCCTTTGACCAGCGGTGCAGGGATGTCTAGAGGTACCTTCCCCTCAACGTCCCCGAAACCGAAACCAAACGAACGTCAACAAGTCAAGAGCTACCGTTACGTACCTCTGCTGTGCCTTTTAGCTCAGCTGTGCATACTACAGCTACCCGGATGCCTGGTTCGAGTTTCAGCCCCCCGAGCTTCAATTTCCTACTCCTTCATGAATTCTTCTCTGGCCGCTCTCGACAAAAACAACTTCCCGCAATCGTTGTTGTTGTTGTTGTTGTTGTTGTTGTTGTTGTTGTCGACAGTACGAGCAAACGGAGCAAACCCCGCAACACCCCCAGGTCCGAGCACCTCTACGGCTTACTCCCCCGAGTCCACCTCCAGTATAAGTGCGATACGTGATACGTCACTCCGCCGGCTACGTCCGGACCGACTCGAACATCCTCACGTCCGACCTTCTTCTCCCTTCAATCCCCCAGAGAACATCTATCTGCTGGAAGCTTGACACAAAACCACTCCGGCGCGAGTAGAGTGCCCGTCGCACAAGATGGGATTTCTAGATATACACGGAATCAGCGTAAGTATTGGAACAGAGCCAGGACCGGCACCAGCATCACCACAGCGGCGCGAAGCGCCCCATATCCGGCGATCACCTCGAAGCTGTATAGACAACCGGCAGCTGACAGTGTACTTGTTGTAGATTTTCAGGTGGGCGGCTGATATATCTCACCTTATTGCAAAATGCATCCTCCTATACTCCATCCATCGCAATAGGAGCGCTGAAGGTTCTACACCTCTTTTTTCGCCGACGCAACTACGTCCCTCCGACTAACACTGGCCTTCTCTAGGCGTGTCTCTCATCACACAAGTATTCTATGCGCTTGTCTTTATTACGCGCTACACGGATCTCTTCGGCGAACAATGGTGGGGGGGATTTTTGGGGTGGTGGAATTTCCTCTTCAAGATCTTCTACCTCTCCTCGTCATTCTACACCATTGCGGCCATGCAGTTCTTCTTCCCACGGACCCGCGAGCGAGAGAAGGCATGGAAGTTCGGCGCCATCATCCTGGGGGGTAGCTTGCTCCTATCACCTTTCGTGATGATGATCGGTAAGCACAAGGAGGATTGGGGTTTTCGAGAGGTAAGTACATTATACCGCCACGTCTCCCCCTCCCTTCCCTCCTACTGGTTACTTACTAACCTTTTTCCCATCCTCAGTGGCTCTGGGTATTCTCCCAAATCCTCGAATCCGTCTGCGTACTCCCTCAACTCCTCCTCCTCCGTCAGACCACCGTTCCGACCGTCATCACTTCGTTATACATCGTGTTTCTCGGCTCCTACCGTGCCCTCTACATTCTCAATTGGATCGCCCGTGCACTCGACATCAACGACCGCAAGCCTGACGGTATTTCCATCGTCTTTGGCCTCATCCAGACAGCCCTATACGCCGACTTTGCCTGGGTCTACTGGACACGCCAGCGTGTCAAGCTGCGGAACGGTGGCGTCGTCGACTCCGATGACCTCCGGCGCGGATGGCTTCTCAGCCACATCTTCGGTAACAAGCGTATGGCTGGGGGGCACAGCGCGGATGACGACGAGGAGAGCGCCCCTGCTCTGGGAGGAGGACGCGGGGTCAACGGCATTGGCATTAGCAACGGAAACGGCCGTGGTTCGGCACCGAGATCCAAGTGGGGCGCTCGCGGTATCTCGGTTAGCGCTGATGACGGCGTGTTCGACCATGAGCAGTCGTTGGAGGACCATGGAGTGACGGAGTCGCTGGATCCGGACGCCAAGATGCACGATCCGGATGACTTGGCGAGGGCCTTGGACGACGACGATGATGGGTCGCCGTCGCGGGCAGGAGGTTCGGCGCCTTTGCTCGGTGAATCGAGCGACAACAACAATCATGACAGGAGGGATCATGATAATGCTTGGGCTGATGACTGATTATAGGGGTGCTAGGAGGCATGGAATATGGAATGACTGACGAATGGTTAATGGGTTGGTGGATCGCTTTTTCTTGGGTATGGACTGGGCATTATCAATCGTTGGCCATCTGGACGCCCAGCATGCTTTTTGCTAGGGGTCAGGGTTTCAATAGGGAGTAACGGTTAGGAAGACGGTGTCGGTGGTCTCAACAACACGCACATGGGTGAGCTAGTTCCGCATATGACAAGGTGAACAAGCAGGTGGCCTCTGTCTACAAAAAGCCAGGACTGATATTGGTTGTGTTTTATATCAAGTTTGAAATGTACAGGCAGATCTTGCTAGGACAGTCCAAAAGCGTTCTTGTTCACGTCTAACTTCAGTTTGTGAGTGATGTGTTAATGGTCCACGAAAACAAAGTTATTTCAGTTCCTATGTGCAATACTTTTTACAACAACCCTACGTCTTTACTCAGTCCTCCTGCACAGAAAGCTCCCAAAGCGCTCTCAACACCGCCAACCCTCCACTCTGGGTTTCCACCGTCCTGCCTCTACCGCGAGTATTAGGATCATCGTCCACCACTTTCCGGGTGCTCTCCTCAGCCATCTTATCATCACCTCTCCTCCTTGAGCCCTTGTTCGACCGGCGGCTTCCAGTCATCGGATGCTGCATCTTGTTATTCTGGTCATTATAAACCACCGTTGGCCCTCTTCCTCCGCCTCCAGGCAACAACTCTTCTTCTGCAACCCACTCAGAAGTCTGCGGGACCCCTTGATTCCGATAATCAGTCACTCCCTCCGTAGGAGCCAACGAATCCGGCCCAAAACGGAGTTCGGACGTCTTGACGTTCAGCAAACCGGCTGTCCACCACATGCCAAATTTGCCTTCACTGTCCCTTGTGCGCGCTGCCGCATGGGCGTTGTGCTTCAGCCAGCCGGAATACCGTTGGCAAGCGGCGTGGTGCTCTTTTGCTATGCTGTTCCAGAACTCCGGACGGGGAGGTGGTGTTGTGCTTGTCAAGGTTGAGTGATTCAACGGCGCCTGCTGGGTAATACGTGAACAAAACGCAGTGAAATGGTGCATCCAAATCCCCTTAAACGTCTGCGCATCCTGCGAGCACTCGCCCGTAGCATCGCAGGCCTCTTCGAGGATGCCGGCCCGGCCCAGGCCGCGCCAGGGTGGGAGCTCACCCGGCTTTAGGCTGTCAAGGTCATCAACCGGAGAGTCCCGCACCAGGTCCCAGCCGGTTGCTCGGATGACGTTTTGGATGAGCGTGTGGCCTGCCTTCAGGTAGGATGGATCGGGGTCAACACTAAAAAGGTTCCGCTGCCCCGTGAGGATGACGCCTTGGTTGTAGGTGTACAGCATCTCGTCGCGCTCGTCGCACTTGGTGTTGTTGCTGCCGGAGGAGTAGCCGGAGATGTGGAAGCCGTCGGTGAAGAGGCCGAGGGAGTTGGTCATGTTGGAGGAGATTAGCCAGGTGTAGGCGTCGAGCGCGGCGGCGAGGTACTTGGGGTCGTGTGGGTACCATTTTTTGTCTCTTGAGGGGCTGGGAGGACCATTCATGGGCTGCGTGTTGCCGTGCTCGGAGATGAAAGGTGAGTTGTTGTCGTCCCCGGGGAAGTGGAGGTACATCATCACCGACGCGGCGATGTATAGCTCATTGGTGATGGCATTTTTGTACGGCAGTAACCGCGGATTCCAGTTCATGCCTCCACCACAGAGTGTCGTGTCCCAGCCGGCTTCTGCAAGTTCCCAGAATATCCTCGCTCGGTGAGCAAATGCGGGAGTCCAAAGAGTCCCATGCCAGGTACGATTCCGTAACGTTTCCGTTGGGAACTCAACACCATTGCCGTCACCAAAGCCAAACGGCGGCCGGCTAGGGGTGCTGCTATACCCATCGACGAACTTGACGGTATCGAGCCAGCCCAATACAACCCAAAGCATGTCATCGTAGGCTTCCTGGCGGAGTGCAAAGATATTCTGGCCGAAGTAAAAGCCGATCAGCTGGGAGAAGTAGAGAGAGATTGTGTTCTCTGTTACCGACCACCCCTCGGAGATTTCGATCCCCCTCGACGCCGCTATCTCGAGGCTTCGGTGTAGGGTTTCAAGGGTCCCGGCAATGTGTGTCCCTAGGACGGCGGCGGTCCAGTCGATAGCGGAGGGCCATGTGCCAACCCATGGCTGGAAGTAGGCTTCTTGCATGACATCGAGAGCGTTTATCATCTCATCGAATAACGTCACGTTGAAGACGTAGTCTCGACCTTTGGCGATAACCGGCTTGTCTTTTCCCATATGAGGAGATAGGAATGAGAAGGACTGGTCGGCAGCGGAGGCAGCCGTGGCTAGGAAAGCCACTTTGGCCCATTTGACTAACATGTTGTCGGCCCAGCAGCAGCAGCAGCAACAACGGTAGGGTGAGGCTCAATTCTTTCCAAATCGGCGGATACCAGGTGGTCGTAAGTAGATATCGTCGGTCCCGGGGTCAACAGAATGCGAGGATCTAGCTCCCGAAACCTGTCGGGAGAGCAGGCCAGTTTATACAACTTTCCCGTTCGGCAGATGTAAAAAGCAAACAAGCGAATCGAGCGCCTACAACAGTCAGTTGTAGTTGCCCAGTCCGCCAAGATGCTGGTATTCCCTCATCATGAACTAGGTAGAGCTCAAGATCCACGAAGATCCACGAGACAGATGTGGATGATATGTGTCTCGGATTTACTCAATGCAACGAGAAACTGGGAGGGTGGTAACGGTTGAAGGTGAGATTGGTCAGGACTTGGAAAGTAAACTCACGGGAACAAGGCAAGAGGATAGCGAAGACTTGGGGCCCTCGGGAATGACTTCAAGTAAAGGTTGGTAGCAGGTATCGGATCAAACTCCAACGACGAGGGGGGAGTTATGAGACTGAATGCCTGCGATCGCACCAACACTTGAGTGGGAGGGCAAGAGTAGAGGGCAAGCCTGAACAACCAACAGTCATGGGAATTCACACCTCAATTCAGGCTGTGTGCATGCCAAGGTCAGCTTGCCCGGTCAGGTTGACACAACCAAGACAATCGATTGATTGTAACTGAAGTTCCAATAAGACGATGCCAGGTGTGGCTGTCGTCGAATCAATGGCTAGTTTGTTCCAGTTGAAGCTGAGGTGAGCCAGGAGGTACGTACACCTGCCTCAATGGATGGGCGGCTGTCCCGGCAGCTGGCAGCGGAATCGGAGCACTGGATGTTCTTGAAACGGGCAACAGCGGCCTGACCGGCAACGGGCGGGTTTAGTTCGCCGAGGGGCGGAGCACCTCCACTGCGCTGAGGGGCAAGGGCGGGAATTGCCTGCCGGGGCGATTCTGCCCACTTGCTCCCCGTGCTCCCCGTGCTCCCCCGCCACACGATGCCCTGTCTGCCCAGTTCGAGGCCCCTTTCGACTTTTTCCAAACCGGACCCCAGAGTGTGTCTCAGACCCCCGACACATGTCTCTTTCCATTCCGCTAGTATGTGGATTTTGGTATTTACATTATCAGATCAAGCACGGATAAAGTGCTTCTCGAAGGTGTTCCGGGTGAATTGTAGCGGACGACTTCAAGGTCTTAAGCTGAGCACCTATGGATTAGACAGGTGGAAGCAGAGGCAGAAGATAGCTACAAGTCAGAGCGACCTGAAGACATAGATTCCATGACTGTTTTATTCCAGTCGACAAAACAACGGTACATTTTGACACTCTGAATGCCGGTTCAGTTGCCTTCCTGTTTTGAAAGCGTGTGACGGGTGAGCAAAATCGTACAACTCAGAAGAGCAACTGTGTAAGCTGCGTGTTGGTGACCGATGTCGGAAGCCCACCTATCTTCCTATACAACTGCAGAACGCGAAAAAAAAAAAAAAAAAAAAAAAAAACAAATCTCATAATATTTGTGAATTGCCAAGTTGAGAGGCAGGTGGGTAGATAATTCGATGCTGTTGTGGATGAAGTTCAAGCACATGCCGCTAAAGATCAAATTCGACAGCGACAAAGATTCAGTCTATAAGACGGTTCCTTGAGTAGCAATTAATTTCGTTGTTTATATTTTATCAAAAGGACCATCCAGATGTTCGCAACACTTAACCGCCTGCCTGTCGCTTCTTCGCTGATATGGTATACAAAACCAACGTTCCATCCGTTCTCCAAAAAACGCCTGCTTCAAAGCCAAAAGACTCTCGATGAAGTCACCCAAACCAGACGCCAAAACGCCATCTAACCAGCCCCAAGTAGCCCTCTTGTCATTCGTGCCAGCCGAGGATCGTTGCCCCATACTACGTGCCGGGGTCCCAAACGTCATAGCCACAGCCCGTCCTACTCGACGAAGCGGCGCTCGAATTCCGTGATGAGCTTTGGTGTGATCTCGTCGCTGCTCATACCCTCAACCTCCCAAAGGACTCCCTGGCGCGCATAATGATCCAGAAGAGGCTCGGCTGTTTCCTGGAACTTCTTGTACCTCGCAAGGTAAACCTTCTCGTCATCATCCGCCCTGCGGACCAAGGGCTCGCCGGTAATGTCATCGACACCGGGAACCTTGGGTGCGTTGAACGTGGTGTTGTAAACCCTGCCTGACGGCTCGTGGACCCAGCGTCCGGAAATGCGCTCAAGGATAACGTCGACAGGCGTCTTGAGGGACACGACCAGGTTGATGGGGATAATCTCATCCAGGCGCTTAGCCTGCGTTGCCGTGCGCGGGAAACCGTCCAGGAGGAAAGAATGGGTGGGATCATTGGAAAGCTGGGACTGGATGAAACCACGGGCTTGCGCTGGCGAGGAGAGGAACGCTGCAACTTCAGCATCGTCTTGGAAAGGCTGTGCACCCTCGGCGCTGAGGGCCGAGGAAGCAAGCGTCAGAACGTTGCCGGCGGGGTGAGTCGAGTTGAGCCATCCGCGCTGGGTGAGCTCATTGCCAATGAGGCGGAGGATAAGGTCATCTGATACCAAACCGCCGGACTTCATGACACTCTCCACTTTGATGCCTGTGCGTGATAATTAGCATTTTGTTCAGGACATGAATCAGGGCGTAGGGCATACGATAGATAATCGCGGAACCCAAGACTCACCGAGAGGAGTCCGTTGCTTGACATTATATCGAAGCAGATCTCCCGAGCTGATGGAGGACAGTTGAGGAAACCGCTGAAGAAGGCGTTCCGACTGTGTTCCCTTTCCGACACCAGGCGCGCCAACAAGGATGACGCGGGCAGCTCGCCGTAGGGCCATTTTCCGTTAGGTCGTGCTCGTGAAGGTGGATTGAGCGAGCGATGGAGTTAATGCGTGCAAGAAGGAAGATGGAAGGAGCTGGCAACGAGAACACGGAAAACCCCCGGGCAGCAGATAAAAAGAGGTTCCGAGGTGGTACTTGTGGCCCCAATGTTGGGTTGATGCGAGCGCGGATGCGGGGAACGGGCGATGATCGGTGGCATGCAATTGCGTACTGTGGTACGCAGGCGCTCACAAATCAAGATGACTCCATGGTCCAGTCACTGGAGTTACAGCAGGGTCTGGATGGGGCAATGTGGATTAAAATTTGGAAGAGCGAACCCGGGGCTCTGACGATGAGCCAAAAAGAGGGAAAGCGTGAAAGGGAAATCGTGGGGATTTGAGATCGGTAGCGGGTCGGACCTCAGGGCATAGTTACGCCTGTATTCTGTCTATTACAAATCCCTATAAACAGCCTCCTACGTAGAAACCGGAAATCTTGATGGCCGTAATGACCAGCCGAAGCAGACAATGCTGTGTGTTTGGCTTCGGACGTCCGAACAATCCTCGACAATGGTACCACAACGAAGCCGTCATTGTACCCAAGACCCAAAAGGCCTCGTGGAAGGAACAGCTGCCCCTGTCATGCCAAGTTCTTTTGTCCAACATGTCGCCCCTCAACAAAAACCACAGGCGTTGAGATTCACCCACAGGCACCCATATGTCATTGTATGGTGCACCAAACAACGATGATAACGCCGCGAGATGAGACTGAAAATGAGGCGCAACTCTGTTTGCCCTTTCCTGTCTATGCTGTACACTAGGTATTCACAGCCAACGTGTTGATCAGTGAGACGGACATCTCCAATTTCCAGATGATCTCATTGCTGGTCGGTGCGACCCAAACCGAGAACGATGGGCCGAGGCAACGGGTTAACCTAAGAAAGCCGAGGCTATCAGGAGCATTTTGAACCGTGAATAGACCGACAGTATGGACACGGGTTGTGCGCAATCTCTTCTCTCATTATGTCCTTTGTAAGACATGGGACTCGGGCAGTCTTCTTGATTTACTTCTCGTTTCACAAGACTGCGCAAGAACACTTAAAACTGTGGGTGTGAGCTGGTCAGTGCTGGCTTTTGAGCAACGCCAGCTGTAAGAGAGTGAAGTGAGTGTTGCTCCAAAACGTCAAGCATGACCTCATGTAGTATAAATTTGGAACATTACAAATAATACCGCTTAAGAGAAAAACGAACAAAAAAACGATTTGAATGGCACGTGCTGGTCATTGACAAGCTGGAAACTTCAGAACTTCCAGAAGTTTGCCAGTCCAAGCGGATATCAAACGTCCACATCAACGTCCACATCGAATCAGTCGCCTTTGGCACCACGATATCGATAACAATACAGCAGTGTAAAGAAAGCCCCCGCTCCCGTCTCTGCTCCTCAATTCTGCCGTTGCCTTCTCCATATCTAGCAAGTTATGCACGACACGCAACAAAGTGAGTGCCGGTATCACCAATGAGCACATCACATCCAAAACGTGGAGCAGAATCGTTGATGGAGCTGTTTCGCTGGTGAGAGCGTGGCAAGTCCGAGAGCCAGTCCTTCTCCAGTTCGTCAGTGGTTCGCTGCCGGCTGCAAAAGCACGAAATGCGTTGGCCCCTTTTGGGTCCCTTCACAAGGGGTCGGTTGGTGAGGAAGAGACGCCCGTGTGAGGTTAGTGCATTACTCGCACTCACGTGATGAACGACAGAATCCGGAACTTGTAACGAGACTGTGGTGTTTTAGCTAGATGACTGTGTGGGGTCGTGATGTAAGTCCTTCATTAGCTGAGTACCTGCAGTAATAATCCAACTAGCGTCTGGGAATCATCACAAGAAGCAATAAAATTATGATGAGTTACTGAGCGCATGTGTGATGGTTCAAGTTCAGTTGACGGCTCCAATATCCCTTGCTTTAACGTGCTCATCCGACTTTGCAACTGAAGAGCTCACTGAGATTATGTGCATATGTACTGCTAACATGACAATGTTCCCTTGTCAAACTGAGATTCGGGGTCTCATGCCAAGCTCGAGGTTCCTGAGCTGGGAAATACCATGCACAGTGAGAATGCTGGAGACCCCACACCGTCGCTCAGGAGAAGAGCACAGTTCTTTTACCCAGCTCGGCCACACCGGGCGCCGCCTTCGTGTTGGCTTGACCGCCCACCGGTGGGTTGCGGGTGAGCGACCGAGACAGCCTGGACAGCGCAATGCAGGCGCGAAAAAGGCTGGAATTTGATGTCACCGAATCCATCAATATCGATCGCTCCAGGTCTTTCTCTTTGCTGACAGACAAACCCGGTCCCGCCCCTTTTGCATTCTGCTCGATCTCTCCATCCCCTTTACAACATCTTCATACTATCAATCAGTTTGACTCCTGTCTATTCAACAACACCACAAGACCATCGACACTCCTTTTCTCGACGTGATTCCGGCTTTTATCCGAACTACCCAGCGCCTGTCTATCCCGCCATCCGCAACTGTCAGGGGGGCGAATTCTTTACTCCGCCGTTATCGCATTCGCATATCGTATCGTCTAGCAAACCCGCCTTCTGTCATACTCTTTCACTGCAGCAGCATCTCTCACTTGGCATTGTGAACGACAACCGTTCGAAAACCCGCAGTACGCCGCTTCTCAGACATGAGCGCCTCATCCACAGTCGCCCGTAGGGCCTTGGTCGTGAACCCATTTTTGGGTGCCGGTAAGAATTCGCCCAATCTCGCGCTTTTTGCGCCGTTGTCATTGGACGCTTGCTGATTTGAACCGCATTCACCAGGCAATGCTCTACCGAGGCAAGCTCTTCTAGCCGCGTCGACGCTTCTTGCGCGCAATTCGCGGCACATCATGCTTAACAACCGAACTTCTGCCCTTGTTTTTCCCATCCGAACAATTACCACATCTGGAACTAGCACTCATGGATCGGGGCCGCCGGCCGGACCCCCGCCTGGCTTCAATGCGGAAGAAGCTAAGAAACCCCTTCCCAGAGAAGCCGCGACGCTTCCTGTTAAGAACAAAACCATCGCTGGCGAGGTGCAGGAGGTGACCAAGAAGACGACTGAGGCCTTGGCCGGGACTGATGCGTCCCTAAGCCAACTTGCGGAACAGAAGCAAGCCGGCGCCGAAAAGAGCGAAGGAAAGAAGGAGGAGCCCAAATTGACCCTGAAACAAAAGATCAAGAAGGAGGCGCAACACTACTGGGATGGAACCAAGCTCCTGGCTGCCGAGGTCAAGATCAGCTCGCGGCTTGCGATCAAGATGGCGGCAGGTTACGAACTGACTAGGCGAGAGAACCGCCAACTCCGGAGAACTGTCCAGGACTTGGGTCGCCTGGTTCCCTTTTCCATGTTCGTCATTGTGCCGTTCGCCGAATTGCTTCTCCCTGTTGCGCTTAAGCTTTTCCCCAACATGCTTCCCAGCACCTACGAGGAACAGAAATCCAAGGACAAGAAGGCGTCTACGCTTCGGGCCACCCGGAAGGAGGTTAGCGACTTCCTTCGCAAGACTATGAAGGAGACCGGTCTCCCGTTGACGCAGGTTACGGCGCAAAAGGAGGAGTTCAGCAACTTCTTCCGCAAAGTCCGGTCTACCGGCGAGAAGCCGACTGCTCAGGATGTGATCAAGGTCTGCAAGATCTTCAAGGATGATCTGACCCTCGACAACCTGTCCAGGCCGCAGCTCGTGTCCATGTGCCGCTACCTGAACCTCAACACCTTCGGCACCGACATGATGCTTCGCTACCAGCTCCGCCACCGCATGAGGCAAATCAAGAGAGACGACCGTGCCATCAGCTACGAGGGCATTGAGACCTTGTCGGTTGCCGAACTTCAAGTCGCATGCGCCAGCCGTGGCATCAAGAGCTACGGTGTGTCGCCTGCGAGGTTAAGAGAGGATCTCCAGACTTGGTTGGATCTTAGACTTCGCGAAGGTGTTCCTTCAACTTTGTTGGTGCTTAGCAACGCCTACATGTATGGCCAGACCGATGGTGAAGTTTCCAGCCAGATTGAGGCCCTAACAGGCGTTCTGTCCTCGATTCCCGAGGAGCTGTTCCACGAGATCGAGCTTGAGGTCCACAACGCCGAGGGCGCGGCCACGAACAAGCAACGTCTTGAGGTTCTTAAGGAGCAGCAAGAGCTGATCGACGAAGAGCTTCAGCAAGACCAGGAGAACCAGAAGACTGGCTTTGCTACGCCGAGAGATACGGAGGACATTGACGAGGAGCACGAGAGGCACATGCAGGCCAAGGCTGAGGGTATCGAGAAGGCCCAAGTCAGCGAGGCGGTAGATGCCGAGCAGGAGGCCCTCACAGCAGCCCGGGTTGACCAAGTGGAGGAGCAGAAGTCAGAGAAGGTTGCAGAGAAGGTTGCCGAGAAGTAAACAGAACATGAAACGAGGAAAGGTTTTGGGAGGAGTTTAAGCGTGTACCGGCAATGGTTAGAATTCCTTGCGACGTTCATGGGTCCTTGACATTCTCCTTTGTTGGATGTTTTGGTTTGCGGGTATTTAGCAACCCTACGGTTCGGGACGGTGTAGGCTTTGTATGGTTAGGCATAGAACAAGCACCGGCGAAACTGGACACCATGTATAGATCATGATATAACATATACTAGACACATGAACGCATCTCAATAAGTAGAAACAGCAAGCGATTGCACCCCAGCTCTCAGTTCATCAGATGGCCGGCATTGTGATATGCGGATAGAGAGAAAATGTGGCACTGTAGAACCACCGTTACTTAAGTCTATGGTGGCGAGTAGGTGCGCTCAGGGCGCTTCAGGTAAAATAGCATATAACTTCAAGGGATGTCACCAACCTGTCAAAGATGCACACCTTGAGTACTCCAGATTCGGTATTTTCAAATCCATGGACAGATGAAAGAAGCAAGGGCGGCATCACCAAAACGGGCAGGCCCCGTAGATGTACCTGCCTCGCCGGCTTTCCTCTGGGTGATACCTTGTTGGCCTGCATTCGGGCGTCATGGCAAAATGCTTGCTGGGATGTTATACATCCAGGTATCAGCATCAACTCCAGCATTTTCGTTCTATGTGTCCATCGTCATGTATGTAGACTAGATTTAGGGAACAACTGTAAATTGAGCAAACCGAAATCATGATGCTCATCCCCCAGAGTTTACTATGCATTCTCACCTGACGGGTAGTCCTTGACACATCGCGATCCAGAGGCACCCCGGGTCATACTTGCTGCACTAACTGGGGATGGGGCGCCTCCAACTCAAGGTTGGCCTGCGCCTCCAAGAGCTCTTCCCCCCGCCATGCCATACGTCAATCCCACCGTCTGCGGAAGACAACCATACTTCTACTTTACACCAACACTCTGCGCTGACCGACGGACTCGAAAAGATTAGTTCTGAGCAATACATAAAGACATTACCCGAATCAAGTCTATGAAACGCGCATTTGATAATCAATATCTTCCTCTGCGCAATCTTCCAGTTGAATCGCATTCCATTCCCTGGCGACTCGCAATCACATTCCTACCTTCAGACGACCGTTCACTACCGGCCTGCAACCAAGCTGCCAAACCAGTTGCTTAAAGCAAAAGCCCAGCAGACAAGCGGGCATACATAGTGGCGCAGCGGCGTCGTCAACGTCTCGGTAAAAGGCCATCGATATGGCGGTCATTGACCAGGACAACTTCTCCAACATTTCATGGCATAGTGAGCAGAACGGAGGGACGGCAGCCTCGACCGCGCAAGCAGACCATCACGCGCCCAACAGCCCAGAGTACGCAAGAAGCGGACCAGACGACGGAAGGACTGGTGACAACGCCGCCGGTATGGAACACGACGAGCTCGATCACAGCGGCGGCGAGATCCTCGACTGCACTGTGTCCGACCCGCACAAGGAGAACGATGGCACCAAAGATGCCTATGTATCTTATCTAATCACGACAAATGTACGTGCTATTTCTCTATACAACATGTTCGCCTTGGGACACTGCCATCTTCAGTTCCCCCAAGCCAATCCTACTACTACCAAACTATGGGTTCCCACAAGGCTAACATATCAACTTCTGTCATTCGTATAGACCACTTTCCCTTCCTTCCAGAAACCCAAAACCACAGTACGACGACGGTTTACCGATTTCGTCTTCCTCTACAAGGTCCTATGCCGCGACTACCAAGCCTGCGCTGTCCCTCCGCTGCCGGACAAGCAGCGCATGGAATATGTGCGGGGCGACCGGTTCGGCACTGACTTCACCGCGAGGCGAGCATACTCGTTGCAGCGATTCCTGGCTCGCCTGGCTCTTCATCCGATATTGCGGAAAGCCGACATTCTCCATGCCTTCCTGGAGAGCCCCGACTGGAACGCTACCATGCGCAGCCGGTCGGTCCGGGGATCGCTAGCATCGCCCGGCGGCCTTGGTGATTCGACTCTCGGTGGAAGTGCTGCGGCGGGCGGCGGCGGCGGCGGTGTGTTTGATACGTTTGCGGACAGCTTCATGAATGCATTCACAAAAGTGCACAAGCCCGACCGGCGGTTTATCGAAATCAAGGAGAAGAGCGACAAGCTGGATGAAGACCTGAATCACATCGAAAAGGTGGTGGCGCGGGTGGCGCGCCGGGAAGCCGATATCGAGTCGGACCTCAAGGACCTAGCCGAGCAGTTCCAGAAGCTGATCACCTTGGAGCCCGGAACCGAGACGGCCGTGCGTGCCTTTGCCGCTTCGGTGGAGGACACGGCATCCGGACTCAAGAAACTCAAAGACCACACCGATCAGGACTACCTCGGCTCGCTACGGGATATGGTGGCATACAGCGGCGCCCTCAAGAACCTGCTCAAGGCGCGCGAGCAGAAGCAGCTCGACTACGAGCAGCTGACCGAGTACCTCAACAAGAGCACGACGGACCGCGACATGCTGGCGTCAGGCCAGAGCTACGGCGCCGGCTCGGCGCTCATGAGCGGCGCAGGCGGCTTCATTCGGTCCAAAATCGAGGACGTCCGCGGCGTGGACCACGAGCAGGCGCGCCGCGACCGGCAGCGGAAGCTCGAGCTCCGTATCGAGGAGCTCACGCGCGAGGTGGAGGTGGCGCGCAACGAGTCGGAAAGCTTCGCGGAGCAGGTCAGCCGCGAGGTCGAGAGCTTCGACTGGATCAAGCGCGTCGAGTTCAAGCGCCAGTTCAGCGGGCTGGCGGACGCGCACATCGAGTTTTATGGCGAGGTCATGTCGGTATGGGAGCAGTACGTGATGGAGATGGAGAAGGAGGGGGTCGTCCTCCCGGCATAGAAGGCTAGGGAGGCGACAGAAACCGACGAGGAGACTGCGACTGAGGAGGAGGAGACTGCGACTGAGGAGGAGGAGACTGCGACTGAGGAGGAGGAGTGGGCGGATAGTCATGAGTACCATCACCACGGCGACAACGACAGAGATCAGCAAGGTGTAGGTGCCGGTGCAGGTGAACAAGGCCCGAACTACGACGAAAGTTTATCACCACCGAACTGGAATGATGTGGACTGGCATGTGGTGCCGAAACGCAACGACTCTTGAGCTCTGATTGATACAGGGCTTGGTTACGGGTGCTGAATAGACGTTCACATTCAAGTTTCGAAACCCGCACAGTTGGTCTCAGTCTCGGCCCTGGCTAGATACCTAGGTTCTCATCAAAGTCGACCGTAGGACTGACTGACTGGCGAGAAGGGGATGATGTGTATTTTTTCTAGTGAATAGCTGCTACGCAGGATCGATTGTGTATTGGCATTGCTATTAGTATGCTGCGATAGGACGAAGCAGAAACATGATTAAGCTCATTGACGGTCCACGATGTTCAAGTGTGAGACACATGTCTGGTGGTTTTTGATTGCGGTAGCCTACGATTGCGGAAGCTGAATAAACATTGATCATAACCCATAGCAAGACACAAGCTTGGTGTTTCTGTGATTGTTCACTGTTCACAGTAACAATGTTCAAAAGAGGGCACACTTAAGCTCAGCACGATACGAATTGCAAGCCAAAGACGCGCGAAGAAAAGAAGTAGTGCTCTATATACGCCATTGAAGTCTTTTTTCCTTTTTCAAAAACAACAGTAGAGGTACGCCTAACTTTACTCGATGACTGTTGACATCATAAGATCCCCTCCCTATAACCATCACAGAAAGACAGAAAGACACTTTATCGCCTCAATGGCCTCGAACCATGCCCGTCATCATCGCTATCGCTCTCATCATCATCATCCCCCACAACATGATGTCCACTTTCATCATCACTATCCGATCTCAAAGCCCGCGTCTGTCTTCCACCAGCTCCAGCTCCAGCTCCAGAACCACTTCCACTCCCACTTGCGCCTTCACTACCGCTCCCACTCCCCCTACCAAGCTCATCTACTCGATCACGATACACCTCATCATCAACATCCTCATCATCGCTCCCGCCAGCAAACGCATCATACAATTCCCCCCCGCGCGTCCTCTTGCCTCCCGCCAGGCCACCGGCACCGCCAGCGCCGCGCTTCTCAGCGCTGCTGCCGCCGCCGCCGGCGAGACCCTCGGCCTCTTCCTCGTCGAGCAGCTCGAACTCGTAGTCGCCCCGCGGGTTGTTGCGGAGACGCTTGCGCCGGGCAAGCCAGAAGTAGACGGCCAGACTGATACAGAAGACGCCGATGAGGGCGGCGGAGCCGTAGACCCAGACCATGGTGGCGGCGGACTTGCCGAAGGTGGGCAGGAAGGAGGGCAGCCAGGTGCTGTTGGTGGGCGTGGTGGTTTCCGAGGTTTGTTCGTCGGAGGTGGGGGACGGATTGGAGGAGGCGTCGGTGGGAGTTGGCTTGGAGTTGACGGGGCGGTTCGGATGATCGGAGACGGTGGTGGGCTTGGTGTCGGTGGCGATGGGCTGCGGCGGTAAGGTGGTGGTGGTAGCGGGGAGGGTGGTAGTGGCGATGACGGCGTGGTCGTTGTCGTCTTCCTCGGTGGGCATCGGGAGTACCTTGGCCTTGGAGGCATCCTTGCTCTCGCCCCAGAGCTTGAGGTGCCAGTCGGTGAAAACGCCCTCGTGACTGTTGACTTGGGTGTCTTTGACAATGATGGTCCAGTTACCGACGCCGGTTTCACCCCTGGTTATGTATATGTTAGCAAATATGGCCTCGGGAAAATTACAGTAACGCGTGCACTTACCAGTGAAGGACACTCATGAACGTCCAGTCGTCATAGCCAGCGTGGGCCTCATCGTTCTTCCGGCTGACCGAAAGATGGCTGACCAGCTTGTTGGGGCTGATGAGATCAACACTAAGGTCTCCTCGCCTGGTATGCGCGATGTTCATTGTAACCGTAATATGCTCCAGGCGCTCAAGGTTGGCCTCGTCCAGCATTGCCTGCGTAACTTCATAAGTGACAGCAACTCCCGTGTCTCCCTGGGGAATTGCTTTGTTGACGTGGATCCAAGGAGAGTAGAACCAGGCCTGAGGCTTCACCTTCTTCCAGGTCTTGGCTGCCTGAACAATGGCGTAGCTGTCTAGTTTGCCGTATCCATACATATGGCTGAATTGTTTGCCAATAGCAGTCGTCTGCCACTCGCCGCTGTCAAGGTTGATAGGAACAGCAGTGTTCACAGTAAGATGCTGCATATCTCTCCATGAGAGATCTGGGCGAACCTGCAGGACAAGAGCGAAGATACCAGCTGCGAGCGGAGCGGCAGCCGAGGTACCACCGTGAGTATCAGAACAAGCATTCCCGACGTCAGTCGTGTGGATCGAATCACCACCGCCGCTGGAGTATGTCACGACCAGATTCGCGGAACACGATTCAGAGTAATAGGGATGGTCGCCGTTTCTGTCAACGGCTCCGACGGTAATGCTGTAGATGCTGTTGGTGTAGCCATCAAAATTGCAGTTGTCTCCGTTTCCAGCACCATTGCCGCTGGCGAAGACATAGATTGAGCCCAGCCCCCCACGGCCCTTCTGGACAGCATTGAGCATAGCCCTCTTGATCAGAATCCCGGGAGCGTCCATGCTCTGTCCGTCATCAGGGGGTCCCCAGGAGCACGAATAGATCTGATTGTGCTGAAAGTCGTAGTTCATAGCAACGGCTTCGTCAGAGTCAGATATCAGCTTGGACAAGATACGCAAGCCGGCAATCCTGGAGTCATATGCTACTCCCACACCGCAGGCATTGTTTTTCCCGGCCGAAACTTCACCGGCGCAGCGAGTTCCGTGTTTGTCATCGCTCAATCGGGGCTTTGGATCAGGGACCTTGTCGTTGAAGTCCCATGACCCCTGGGCGTAATAGTTGTCCTTCAAGTCATCGGTTTCCATATCCAAGCCATCATCGACAATGGCGACGGTGGCGTTTTTTCCAGTGATGCCTTCGAGCCAAAGCCCGGTAACGTTCACGTCGTGTCCAGTCTGGACGGTGTTGAAAAGATGCCACTGCTCCTTGAATATGGGGTCTTTGATGCCCAAAGTCCCGATGACTTCGTTTTGCTTCTTGACTGCCCAGTCAACCCCTTGGTCAGAAAAGAGACCCCTTCTGGAAGGTCCTGCTGGTCGGGGGACCATGCGCTTCTCCCAAGGCTTCCGCAATATTTGCTTCTCTGAGAAGAGGACACTATCCAGAACATGGGGCTCGTCGCCTAATGATCGTTTTCGGCGCCGGCGCTCCGTCAATTCTCTCTTGACAATATCATGTTCGGCTTTGCTCCCAACAAATAGATGGTGATCCTGGAGTTCACCAAGTGGCCCCTCGTGAGACAAGCCTAGGCTCCTCGCGACCTCAGTAGGTGACGTTCGGCCGTCGAGATGGAGAACATAGTAATCGTTCGAATCGAAGTCGCGGGGGAGGACGTTGGATGCTATAGCCAGAGCGGCCAAGCCCAGCGGCGTTGCGATGGCCGAGAGCTTCATAGCTGAGTTCGAGTAAAGGGCCTGGGGCGCCCCAAGATCGTTTTACTTTGCAGGGGATGCGCAAGGTTGAGTAGGTGAATGATGTTAAGAAGACGGCATCAGTTCACGGCGACTAGAAGGGTCTGGAAGGTCGAATCGAAAGCTCGTCCCTTGCGAAAGGGCATCGAGGCTTTGTATGGAACTGGTTAAACAGCTATTGTATAAGCAACGGAAACAAGGAGGGAGAGGCACAGCATACAGAACTGAAGTCCACTTGCGACCACAGCGGCAGTCGGGAATCAGGTAGGCCCTCTAAAGCGATCGTGTACGGGCTGCAAATAGGAAGAAGGTGGTACAATGTTCCCCGTCTCACCAGAAACGGTCTAGGAAGATGGGTTGTTTTGAAGATGGAGGATTCACCTTGTGGAAGTTCAGTTCGGCAATCTGGCGATGTGGCCTAGAAAACCATCCCGCCACACCAACGCAGGGGCAATGCACACAGACGGGATGAGGTGCGCAAGTGAAAGACAGGCGGGGACCAGCTGGTACAGTTGCCAGGCGAAAGGAAGGACCCTGTATGAGGCGGCAGTTCAGGTGGGGGGCCTAGGCTTTAGGGGCTCCTTGTAAGGGGGTCCATGGGGCAGTGCATTCTTTGCCGTTACAAGATGTCGATTTACACAATAGAAACGTCTTTCTACCAATCACACCTTGTCATGTCGGAACGATCACCGATATTTGCCTTTGCTCTGAAAGCAGGTGTTTGTTTGGGGATGAGAGCCAAAGCAGTTTTTGAGAGCCAAAGCAGTCAGGGATGGGGTTTTAGCTGTGTGCCATACTACAAATGTTCCATCTTCCGTCTCTCTTGTCTCCCAACCGACACCTCATTTCAGTTAGGTCCTCGGGAAAACTATAGTATACTTTGCACATCTCAGCCTTCGGTTCCGACACACACAAGATGGCAACGACGACAGCATTCCCATCGCCGCCGCACCCAGTTCATCCATGGTGGTAGAGGCGATCTTCACGTTGCCTGCGGAGGACAACGTGGCTTCGAAACGTGTTTGTGTGACGAGGCGTTTGCATTTGGAGTTGGACCTTTCCGCTTTCTCACCTCAATAGGGATGAAGGGCTTCTGTGGTGATGTTCCCTTAGTACTCGGCGTTGTCAAAGAATCGAAGGGCTTCCCACCAACAGCTCACCGAACTCGGCCAAACAGCCATAGACATCTCACAGCCGCATAAAGGGAGAAGAAGGCGAGATCTCCGTTATGAGCTGTATGCGAACTACCGTACTTCTTTGTTTCGCTTCTAGGAAGCAATCTTCTAGTAAGCAATGCGGCGCTTGTTGTATGGTAAAGTACTTCTGGTCTCCCAAGTATACGTCTCTTGAGCGTATCCAGTACATGTACTCTGACCACCACCCACAGGTCTGGTCTGCCTAGTTTCATGATTTATGGCTAGATGCTAAACGATATCTTGAGCAGGCAGTTAAATAGCAAAGTTCCTGTCGGGTCTATGAGTGACCAATTCAGCCCTGCAGAATGAGGACAACGGAGAGGCACGACCTTCGACGCAGTCGTCGGAATTGATAAGAGATCTATCTGAGCTATCCCAGCGGACGTACAGAGTACGGACATTGATTGGCCATTGAGACGTTTCTTGTAAGCAGCAACGGCCCGCCATACCTCAACTACGCCTTGGACATTAGCGGATACAATGCCTCTGTCCCCGAGACAAATGTCGTCTGAAATTTGAACGACGTGCCAGCCACCGGCATTTTGGATTTCGTCATGTTGTTCTGGAGCACAGGACGGGAACTCTTGATGTTTAGGGCAACGGCCGCTCACTATCGGTTATCCATGCGCTGTGCGTCTCACCAGTCTTACCCCCTGACCTTGACGGCCAGCCTCTTCACCTTGCCCAAATAAGTCTAGCGGCACTTAAATCAAGGTCTGGCGGGTGGGATCTCCCGCCTTCTCGTTTCTCGGGACTGCCACTCCTGGTTAACTCGCTGCGACAAGGAAGCTCCAGTTTCAGTCCCCGCAAACCCAAACAACAGAAGTTGCAATCAAGGGGAGCTCAGGCTGAGCTTCATCTCAACTTCGCAAAGAACAGATGAACGTGTGCTTGGAGACCGGATGGCAGGCAATATTATTCCATCCAGAAGAATGGGATGGCAGACTGAAACGTGATTCGGTTTGCGCTGGAGGTTGGAGATTTCTATCCGACTGCCCGATCCCGAATCTCGCCCTGCTGCAGCAAAAGGCACTGCATATGCAGCGAGCAACCATTCAGCTCAAGTCAATCGTCCAGGGCAGGGCATGGCAGGGCATGGCAGGGCATGGCATTGAGCAACCTGAGCCCATTTCACGACCGGCGCCAAATTGTAACTGGCTTGCCTGAACCTTAATAGCTGAGCTAGTACCTCAGTCCTGCCCTTGATCTACATGTTCGACGAGGTACAATATACACACACACTATCGCGAGAGCTTCCTTGGAACGAAATTCGCGCCTAAAAGTAACCTCGCCAGCTCCGCCCAAGCTCTGTCTAATCTGTCTCCTACAAATCCCCGGTCTCCCATACATACACTCGTCATCTCAATAAGGATTCCCGTCCTGACATTGACACTCAAGCTGATCTTTCCTTTGCTGTGTCACGACGTTCTTCGGTGGGGCCGTTGAAAGACATTGACAACTCCTGCGGCAGATCCAAGCTGCTGTAAAGATCTTCTAGACGACTTCGACACACTACATACTGCTTACAGATCGGAGTGTACCTACATTGGACTGCCAGGGCCCATGTGTCTGCTCAACATTGGCTGCTAGTTATGGCTAGCTAGCTCGTGATAGTTACCAGCCTCCAGTCGTTCCCAGGCACCGAGGTCAGCCAGCCTCTGGTGTTAGATCAGCCTTCAGTCAGCTTACAGGGACCGTAACACACCATCAACTTTTCACGACTAGTCAAGAAACGAACAAGCAACACGTCAAAATGTCGGCTCCGTACTGGGGCCAGCTCCCACCACTAGCTACAGTTCCTAGGAGTCGGCGCATGTCTGGCGATGTGACGCCGACAACCCCATCCGACTCTCGCCAGTCCTTCAACATCCACTCTCAGACCCGCCACAGACCGAATCGCATCTCTGTCCAGACTACAAAGTCGGAAGCTCAGACTGACTCAACTCTCAGCCCTTTCGCATCTCCGACCACTCCCAGCTTCATGGGCCAGGGACTTGCCCCTCCTCCGGCACCAGTGCCCTACGGTGCTAGCAACCAGTATCCGCCCGAGTTCCTAGAAAAGCGCCGTCGCCGTAGGAGCCAAAATCTAGACCATGACTTGGAGTATGCAGTCGATACTGGCCCACCGCCGCCTGCCGTCCCAGAGGCTCCTCCAAGACCTCCTATGAGTTACAGGTATCCGTCTGCCATCGCTGAACAACAGAACTCGTACTTGAATCCCTCTCCGGGATCGTCACCCATGACCCAAAACGTGGGCTCAGATGGATTCCACGAGAATCAAACCTCGGCCGGTGAAAGACAGACACCTCGGGACACGGATGGTGCGAGCACGAGCCGGCGACCACAGCGTATCGTTACCGGATCGATGCGTTCGGGAAATATGCCACCACTAGCCGGAGCAAACAGCCACCGACGCAGGGCTTCTGGTGTTGACCAGCCTCTACAGAGGAGTACTAGGCGCTCCTCAGCGAGCCAGCCAGCAACCCGACAGAGAATGTTCGCAGACGACCGCTCACCACTTCAAAGGCTCCAGCTGACCCTGGACAGCATAGCAAAAGGAGAATCAGGGGAAGGACCTACTCCACGAGTCGAAGCCGCCGAAGGCTCAGCACGGGAATTTACGCCAGAGAACTCGGCACCCGAGCAGACCGAAATAAACACGATATCGCCGCAAGTGCCCGTTCAGATCCAACAGGTCTCACCCGTTATTCAACGCCAGGAACTACCTCAACAAACCATGCCGGTAAGTTCGACGACTTCGACCAGACCTGACCAAGGTTCGGCGGCTGCAAAGGGACCACTCTCGCAGAATCCTCCCGAAGAAGGGCGAACCTATGGAGCAAACAGTGGGCGAGTTGCTAGACCCCAGGTGCCTGACCCGCGGATTCCAATGAACGCGGCTGTCAGCAGTGTCAGGACTTCTAATCTACCACAGCGCAACCTCAGTTTCCGCGAGCGAGCAGCTAATCAGGAGGCCAAACTGCCCAATGGTATAAACGAGGCTTTGGGCCCCATGCCCACACCAAGGAAGGTGGTGAAGAAGCCGGTAGCAGAGCCATGGCCGAGGCAAAGCCAAGAAAAGCAGGAGACCCAAGAGCCAGCAGAGGCTCGAGATCATCAACCAGTCGAGAGACCGATCGAAAGGGCTGTCAAGGACGACAAAAGTCAGCAGTTTGGCAATATTACCATTGGAGCGAGCGCAGAGCCAGCCAGAGCAGCGAGCCAGAGAAAGGCGGACAAAATACTTGGTCGTGCTCCTATCCAGCAACCCCAGCCATATACAGCACCTACGGAGCGACAAAACCCTGTTCAGAACGAGCCTGTCCCTCAACCTCCCGTCGAGAGTCCCATTATTCCTGTCGAAAGCCCGCAGGCTACGGCCGAAAGGGTGCCCATGGGTGGGCCGAACTATCCTCCCCCACCTAACCACCAGCACCAGCACCAACATCAGGCACGGAGGGATGTTAGACGCGACGACCATGGGAGAGATCTTAGACGCGATCGCGATGATGCTGAACCGGGCCATCACATCTCTAATATGCTCTACCATGCGCGGGACGACCTCGAGCCCGGGCAGGGCGAGTTTCAACCGACAAGATATCTCGAAGAGTGGAAGAATGGTACTGTCGGCACTCTTGCTGGCCCGCTTCTAGACCTGGGCAATGTATCGCCTTCAGGTGACAGGAACGCACCCCAGTTTCGGAGACGAGGTACCGGGGGATCGCGGCCAAGGAGAGGTGAAGCTTTTGATGGCGAGTATGATGACACTTATGGTGAGTAATCGCTACGTCCCTTATTCACGGATAAGGGTGACATTACAAGTAGCCTTGTCACCCAGTTATCGACATTCACCCCTTTGGCTCTGCTTTTAGAAGTTCTCGTTTTCAGCTTTTTTTCTACTTTTTTCCTAACAAGCGATGAACGGTTTCTGATCACTAACTCACCCTTTCAGTATGCGAAGCTCCCACAAGATTCAAGCCGCCACTCTACCTCAAATGCGGACCTTTGCTTCGCTTTTGCGGTATCCGGCATGACCGTGTGGCCACCCGCTCCCCCAAGCCCGGGGCAGTGTTAGAGAAAGAGATATGGCGAGGCTCAGTGATGATCGTCACTTCAGACGCCGATTCGTCATACGATATTGCCCCGACACTGAGGCTGTTCGCTCAACCGGTGGAACTCCTACCCCCTCCGCCAAAGATAATCCATGGTGATGAGCCTTTGGCAGCAGAGTACGTTGATCCCATCGCAGGTGATCCCAAAGTAGGGCGCAAGGGCGAGACTCTCTATGTCCGGCCGGTCGACCACCTGGAAGAAGGCAAGGATCTTTCCAGGGATGAAACCGACAACGGGTTATTCGAAAAGTCGAGAAGCGCGCCAGATTCTCTTCCGGCCGGCGTAACTGACCCGCCTGGCTCCTTCAACGCCCGGAAGAAACGCGCCAAGATCGATGGGGAGAGGGCAGGGAAGTACAAAGACGTTCGAGGATTCCGGCTCCATGCCGAGCGAGGGTACACTTTCTGGCGGTTCAATATCGAAGTCGAACTCCGCGAGAAGCAACAACGCATCGCCTATCGTATCAACCGGGGACCAGCAACGGGTTTTTGGGTCCCGGCCAAGGGACAGGCAATGAACATTATGTTCCACAGCTGCAACGGCTTCAGCTTAAGCGTCGATCCCAACCAGTTCAGCGGCCCCGACCCTATGTGGCGCGACGTGCTCAACACTCACCAGAGCCAACCGTTCCATGTCATGATTGGTGGTGGTGACCAAATCTACAACGACAAGTGCATGCAAGAGACGCAACTTTTCAAGGAATGGCTGATGATCAAGAACCCATTGCACAAGCACAACACCCCTTTCAGCGCGGAAATGCAGGACGAGCTAGAGCGTTTCTACCTGGAGCGATACGCCATGTGGTTCTCCCAGGGATTGTTTAGCATGGCCGCCTCGCAAATCCCCATGGTCAACATGTACGACGACCACGACATCATCGACGGCTTTGGCTCGTACCCGCACCATTTCATGAACTCGCCGGTGTTCTCGGGACTTGGCAACGTTGCCTTCAAGTACTATATGCTTTTCCAGCATCAAAGCGTAGTGGATGAAACGGAGAAATCCGAGCCGAGCTGGATCTTGGGTGTTCGGCCGGGACCGTACATCCAGGAGGTCAGTCGAAGTATGTTTATGTTCCTGGGCGCAAAGGTTGCCCTGCTGGCAGTCGACGCACGGACTGAACGAACGCGAGAGGAGGTCATCAGAGAAGATACATGGAAGAGGATCATGGACCGGTGCTACGGCGAGATCGAAAACGGGAAGGTAGAGCATCTGCTGGTCCTTCTTGGTGTGCCGGTCGCTTACCCGAGGTTGGTCTGGCTTGAGAATATGTAAGTGTTGCTCCAATCTTCAGCGAAGACAACCGACTGGAAAAGATGTCTTATACTAACCCTGTTTCCTAGCTTGACCTCTCGTCTGATGGACCCCGTCAAGGCTCTAGGAAAAGCCGGCCTTTTCAAAAACCTCCTCAACCATTTCGATGGAGGCGTCGAGGTCCTGGATGATTTGGACGACCACTGGACAGCCAAGAACCATAAGGAGGAGCGGGCAATTGTGATCGAAGATCTCCAGGACCTGGCGGCTGACAAGTCAGTCAGAGTTACTATTCTCAGGTAAGCATCAGTTGTCCACCGCAAAACCACCATCCGTAAACGTCTTGAAGCTGACCATGTTCTGCAGCGGTGACGTCCATCTGGCAGCCATCGGGCAATTCTACTCGAACCCCAAGCTCAACATCCCGAAGGACAAGGACTTCAGGTACATGCCAAACATCATCTCCTCCGCCATCGTCAACACTCCGCCACCGGATATGTTAGCCGACGTTCTCAACAAACGCAACAAGGTTCACCACTTCGACCGAGACACGGACGAAGACATGATCCCGATGTTCCAACAAGGTGTCGACGGCAAGCCGCGGAACAACAAGCACCTGCTTCCGCACCGCAACTGGTGCTCGATCCGGCTGTACACCCCCGGGAGTACACCAGACTCCACACCCGGCCAGTCCGTAAATGACATCAACGCCTACGGACTACCTCCCAACAAACCCAGCCTCTTGCGCCGCCTCTCACTCTCCAAAGAACGGAGCAAATCCGGTCCCACCTACCGCGGTCCCGACAGCGTGCGCGACCGCTCACGCCCGCCCATATCCAACGCGTTGCTCCGCACTCTCTCCCGCCGCGGACCAAGCGCAAGCGCTGATCAAGTCATCCCCGGCGGCCGCGGAAGCCCAGCGGCAGCAGGAAAGCCTCCCGGACTGTTGAAAAGGACGCTCTCGGGCTCCTCCATCAGCGGCAAAGTCGGCAACTTCTTCCGCCGTCGCAGTAGCGTCAGCTCCCAGCGGCCGCGTGTCGATGATGGGGGCATCAACGGAACTTGGGGCCCGGAGTCGGATTGTGAACAGGCTGTTTACGACGACTATGATGAGTATAACATTCCTAAGATACGTGGCGGCCGTCGTGACGGCAGCATGTCTGCTGGTGTAGGCTTGCGCGGCGGAGGAGGTGAATACCACCCTACTCCCCCGGTGCCCGGCGGTGGTGGCGCTGAGTTTGCCGCCGGTGATGAGAGTTACTTCACTGCCAAACCTGTCTCTGACCACAATCGTGGAGCGAGTGCCGGTAGTAATTACCCTTCTCCCCCAATGACCGGTGGAAGTAGCGTCGCCGGCCGCGGAGGTCCCAAGGGCATGGGCATGTTCCAATCCCAAGCAACATCCGCCTCCTTGCCAGAACGGGACTTTACACCCTCTCAACTCTCACATCGCAGTGGCGGTGGCATGTTCCGATCAGCAACAACAGGCGGCGGCGCAAGGACAATAAAGCGTGGAGATGCCGTACCCCAAGTCATGGCCGACGGCGCGCTGGAGGTCACCCTCAACGTGGAGATCAGCCCGCGCGATCCGGGAGGCAGCACGGTGCCGTACCGCCTGCTGGTGCCCAAGTTGTCGTATGAGTATGAGGGCGAGGATCATGAGCATGATCATGATCATGAGCCGGAGATGAATGCGATGGTGGGGGAGGAGCATACGCTGAGCCAGGGGCAGTTGCAGGCGTTTATGGAGTCTAGGCAGCGGGAGGAGGAGATGGAGATGGGGAGGGGGAGGGGGGAGAAGACTAGTGGTGGTGGAGGGATTAGGAGGTTGCTTAGTTTGAAGAGGAATGGGCGATGATTGATGATACGAGAAGGGTGGGATGGGATGTGGTTGTGGTTGTGGGTGTGTAATGCTATGGTTGACTTTGGATTGGGATGTGTTTTTCGTTGTTAGTCTTGGGTTGGGTTTCATGCGGCTTATGCCCGTGAACTGAGGTGTATGTGAAGCAGGTACAGATGGATCAGGTATCTAGATAACGATTTAATGATTTGATGAATGCACATATGTCCTCTTTACAAGGTGTTTGTTCAATCATGATGTTGGCGAGGAATCTCTCGATGTTCTTCTATACGTGAACGGAGCTTCTGATTGGTCGCAACCACAGAGGCCTAGATAAGCCGCTATCGCCCTTTTTAGTGGGGATGCGATATGACGAACATCGATGTGACGGGAACTTGTTGAGCTGCTCAATCTGTCTTTGATCCTGTTTCCCTCGCCTTGATTGTCGCATTCAATTCCGTCTCTATTTCGACTCTTGATCCTCTCTTCTTCAGATCCACGACCTATTGACTCACCGAAGTCGTAAACCATTCACCTCTCGTCCTCTTGCCGACTAGCTATCTTCAGACTCTCAAGTCATTCAACCCAATCACGACATACGAACAGCTTCGGCGTTTACGACCGACCTACCGCATTCTTCCGTTATCCTTCGATTCGAGCCCGAAAGCACGCATAAGTCCACGTCGCTCCAGCCCAGGCGCATCGAAAGCAAGCAACATCGAAACCCGCTCCCACGTAGGACCAGCCCCTTAGTAGGCGAAAGAACAAGAAAAGATATCAGTACAATTGCCTTGGGCAGATGATGGCTTGAATGGCGTCAGACACGGAAGCACAACACGAACAACAGCAGGAGGAGCAGCGGGAGCTCGCTCTCAACGGCAACGCCGAAGGAGAAGTAATGAAAAATGGCAACGAGCTACCTCTACGACCCGCGACGCCAACGACCAAGCCAACCACCGCCGCGCGCCCACCGCAAGCGCAACCATTATCTTCCGACAACGACGACGCAGGTTCCTCAGACAACGCCCCAGGCACCAGCTCAGCAGACATCTCCCAAGACGACGCCTCGTCCGAGCTAGTAACCTCCCCATCAGTGACGTCCCCTCCATACTGGGCGCACGGACATAGCCAACCAAACGGTCTTGGACGAACACGGCACGCAAGGACCGTGTCAAGCGCGTCGGCGGAAAGCGATCTGCCACCGGGAGCCATCACGCTGCAGGATAACGAGCACGACGACGGGCCGGACGGGGCGAACGTGTACGGACGGGACCGCAACCGGGCGTGTTGGGCGAGAAACGTGGATATTGTCGATTATATACTGGTTAATGGGGGGACGGCGAATATTGGGGCGTTTGTTGTTTGGAATATTCGGGTTGAGACTTTGAATGTGCGTATTTCCTTGGGAAGGGGGTGGATTATTGCCCGTGAATCTCTACGGTTCTTGGTTTCGCAACATGGAGTTTGGGACTTTGACTAACCATCACCGTTTTTTTTTCCTGCAGGGCTCGCGAATGAACATAAGAAAGAGATACTCCGAGTTCGACGGTCTCAGGAAACGGCTCGTCCAGACCTTTCCCAATTTCGAGGCCGCTGTACCTCCAATACCTCCCAAGAGCATCCTGCACAGATTTCAACCAAAGTTTCTCGAGAAAAGGAGGGCGGGGCTGCAGTATTTCTTAAAGTACGTGTGCATTACCTGACGACTTGGCTCCCTTGAACAGCTCGCCTCAGCTAAAGAGAGACACGTTGCTAACTTTGTGGTGACGACAACAGCTGCATTCTACTCAATCCAGAATTCTCTGGATCTCCTGTTTTGAAGGAGTTTCTCTTCTCATGAAGATAACGATAACGATAAAAGGGAAAATGCGCAAGAGATGATGAACGAACTCTACTACTTTCGACGAGGTAATGGTAATTTGTGAATGATTCCTGGATCATGGGTAATGCCTAGGTAGTTATGACGACGATGACGGTGGCGACGATGAGTAAACGGGACACGGACGCGTCTGCGTCTGCGAGTTGACAGGATGGGATGGGATGCCCGAGAGCCGAGACTCTTGAGAGCAAAACATCAGATGAACTGGACACAGACTAGGACGTGGAGAAATAAAGTTGCATAATGTTTGAAGGAAGCGGCTGGACCCGTTTTACGTTTCTACTTGTTTTTTTAAGATCGGCATTGCTATGTTTAACCTTGGGACGCTTAAGATGGTTAGAGTTTCTGGAGTTCTTCATGATGTTGGATCAACGATGGAAGATGGGTTTGGCCTCTTCCCTTTCCCATGCGATGTAGCCACCATTCCCAGTACCGCCTTCTAGACCCAGACCATCGATCCGCCAAGAGGCTATCTACAGTAGGCCGATCTTGAAATCGCCTCTGGGACAGTTTGCCTTGCTCGGATTCACCAACAATAAGTAAAGTGGATTCGTCGTCGTTCTCACCCGCCATGTCCAAAATTCTAGACGTTTCCCGACTCACGGACGTAGATCCGGGCACTGCCGGGCTCCGGGCCAGACAATCAAGAAATTCTCAGCCGCCTTTTGCTTGCTTGCTTATTAACCAGCCTAGGTGTGAGTGGACGAAAGGTATGGTGGGTTGGTGGTGTGCTTGAAATTGTGGAATCGTATCTTGGTACGGAGTACGGATGGAATCATCGGGTAGGTAGATCATTTTACATGTAAGTCGAGAAGGTTCATCAACCCCGCGTTGCCAACGAGCTGCCAAAGCGTGGAGCGGAGTTGAGTGTGTGATTTCCTTTTCAGCGATCTGTTGAGGATCATATGCAGTCACATGTAGTTGGAATGTTTTGAGTACGGTATTTACAGTATCAATGGTCAGAAGAGACCTGTCTGGTTCAATAGTAGTCCAGCCATCGCCATTTTTGAACAGAGGCGGCATCTCGGGCGGCGGTGGAGAGTCGGCTGTACTACATGCAGGCGGAAACACAGATGAAAAATACCTCAACGAAGACAGAAAAGATAAGAAAGGTGAATGATCAACTATCGAGGGCTAGACTTGATAAAATGCAGAATGTGTTTGTTGCGGCTATGAGGGTCCCCCGCCATTCCCCGGGTTCGCCGTATCAGTTGAGGTTGTAGCGGCTCATCGCCACAGCAAATACGAGGTTCGATGCAAATACGCACAACCACTGGAATCCTACCGCTAGGTGCAAAAAACAAAAAAACTCCGGTTTGCGCTTCGTTACAAGTTGGAAATAATGTTTCCCGAGTGTGCCGTGAAGAAAGGTATCAGTCAGGTGAGACGTGGGGTTGATGTCCTTCGAGGTAACTCCGTCTTGCCCCCGTTCGGGTCGGGTTCCATGTCCATTCACAAGTGCTCACTCAGATCAACTGGACCTCGTATGAATGCCTCCGAGCGGTCGGTCTCCCTCCCCATAACGAAATGGACTATGGGTATGCAGCATGCATTCACGAATGCAACCTACCTATAACGGGCCAGCCGCGTCCAATGCGATAAAAGAGTTGCTTGCCGCTTTTTCCATTCTCCATAGAGGACGAGAAGATCAAGACGCCGCAAGCCGCAGGCTGTAGGTTGTTGCCAACAAGACGTGTGTGGGTTTCAAGAGACAAACCTTCCGTGTTTGGGACCACCATTGCGATGCCGTAGAATTATTGAGTACTGGCTCGGGTTTCTGTGTTCTGCTGCCTGGAATCCGGTGTTGTTGTGAAATCTGTTGACATCGAGAGAGATGTTTACTCCAGGAGAATAGTTGCGGATCGACAGTGCACAGCAGCAATCATCAGCAGGTGCAAGCAAGCCCAGAGCAACTGGAGACCGGCCGCCGCTCGGTGCATGCCGGTCGGTGCAGTTGTGCACCTCCAAAAGTGTCGATCGCCGTAAACCTTATCAGGACGGAGATGCGTGTTAAAATGCTGGTTACCCTATTCCCGGTAATTTTGAGATTAAAATTATGGGATAAGCATTTGGGGTCTTACCACTAGACTTAAAACAGGGCAGATATAAGACAGCAACATCATGGGTTGTTTCTTGCTCTTGCCTACGACTATGGTATTCGTCCCAAGTCTCTCGGATGTCTATGCTCATTATGTGGGATATGACGATTTATGTCGGCCTCTACACAAGTTGAAGAGTACATACAGCATGTTCAAGAACAACCACAAGGTTCATCCGATCGTAACAAAACGTCCGTGGAGGTTCCAGCGGACCGTATCCATCCAAACCTATCGATCAAAGTCCATCCCCATCACACGAGAAATGGGCATCCAGCCTCCTAGCGGCGGAATTGACTTGCCGCGATTGGACAAACCGGCGGTGCAAAGAGTTCAACGTGTGGAGTAAGTTGGCATACCCATCCCTGCCCCGGCAAGTTCGCTACCGTCGACGCGATGCAACACTCCAGGGATGGGGAGGATGGACCAGCTCAGGCCCAACTAAGCCTATCAGCGGGCTTGGACTGCTCATTTAGAGCTCGAATAGTGGGCTCTGGGCCTCGGGAGCAGCCACGGGCGTTGATGATCCATCCAGAGCCATCAAACCCTCAAAATCCGTCAGTCCAATTTGATGCTTGGCCTGCTAGGGTACCCTGGCCTCCTTTTCCCTTTCCTCCTCGTCCTCCACGCTTTCTCTCCGCTCCTTCCTTTATCTCCACTGCCCCAGTGACTTTCTCTCATCTCCCCCATAATCCGGTCGTTTCCTTCCAGATCCCTTGGGACCCTCGCCTGCTTCTAGGATATTCTCCTGATCTCTTAAAGTCCTCAAGTGGTGCTGTCACTCGCTCTGACCTTTTTACCTGCCTGACCTCTTGCTCTCATTTCCGTTCGGATCTCCTCAAGTTCAGTTCAGGACCGTCGAAATCCCGTTAACTTCACCTCACCGTCGTTGTCGTTGCTCGTGCTCCCCCGTACATTCCGAGTTTCCTGTAAGTGAGCTTTGGTTTCCATCAGATCTGAGAGTTGCCTTGAGTTCTCTTGGTTGAATGGCATGTCCATTCATTCCATGGAGGTCACGGACAACGCCGTGATCAAACTCCAGTTTCTCTGTTACACCGAGACGTTCCATGACGATGCATGATTGCTCACCGTTAGTTTGTACAGAGTGAACGAACATAATCAATCCAACCACTCATCCACCCGTCCACGATAATTCAAATCCAATCTTTCACAATGGTTGCCTACAGCACTACCCTCCTGGCTCTTGCCAGCTCCTTGACCCTCGTCTCCGCCGACTACTGGGTCAACACTAGCAACATCGACATGGGCACAAAGCGTACGTACCAACCAAGTCGTCCATCGGAGCGTTACCAGTAAAAACAGACTCTAACCGGACAATCAGAGAACTGGTGCTTGAACGAACTGGCCAGCTGCCCCCTTATTTGCCAGCAACAGGATCTTGGTCCTATCGAGAAAAACCTTTGCGATGCTGTATGTGAATGAAAAAGCCCCCCTCGAAGCTGAATGGCGTATGTTTTGTAATGTTGCTAATCTCTGAACCAGGACACCCTTGAATACGCATGTGTTTGCGGCAACGGCCAGACTCCCAACTTGACCGAGTACACTTTGACGATTCCTTACCACACTTGCGTCTACTGGGTTCAGGAATGTATCCAGGACAACACGGGCGACAACCTTGCGCAGGCCGCCTGCGCCGCGGACCACCCATGCGGTGCTAAGGACCCCAAGAGATCCAACGCGACCACGACGTCGACTGCTTCCAATACCGCCAGCCCAACCGCTTCCAGCACAGGCACTGGCGTCTTCACAGGACTTGCCGGCGAGAGCAGCGGTGGTGCGGATTCGAGCAACAACGGCGGCCACAAGAAGAACGCCGCTCCCCGCATGCTGGAGTCGATTGGCGCGACCCTTGTCTTTGGCAGTCTCTTTGCTGGTTTCGCCATCATGCTCTAGGCTAGCGTTTTTTTTGACGTTTGCGGTCGTACCGGATGTGCGTCGAGCTTTTTGGGGGGGGGGGGGATCAAATGTGAAGGCGAGAGCCGTTTTCACAAAAGAGGAGGAGGATGTTAGGGATTGACCTCCTGGCGAATCCGATCAGTTGCTGCTCGATGGATGGCAGCAGAGTCTGTTGAGGTTATAAAGGGAGCTTTCAGGATATGAAGCAGTGGAGGGTGTCATCTATCACATGCCCTCATGGAGCCACGACATGCTATCATCAACATCACCCTAATATTTCAACAAGCGCATGGAACAGTTCTGTCTTTTTTTACGGCGTCTCTGGAGCTTTAATGGCATCTTCTTGCGGGTTTTTTGATGGAAAAGGGAAATCATTTTGTCAAGCGGTTGCTGGGCGTTTCTCTCAGTTTTATGTACATGACTACTGTGGTTAACACGCCTAATTGTGGAATGTGTGTTATTGTGTTGCACATCATGATCAATAATTTCTTGATTCGGCATCGGATCATCTTGTGCAACTTCGCCTATCTTGTCTGCCATTGCTTGGCCAAGTGTCCTAGCTGCATGTCAGTTGTGGAGTAAAAGATGCCGACTTGGATACAGGTACCTTGATGGTCTATAAAAGAGGTGAGGTTGATACTCGGTAGAAGCTCGCTCAGGCTGAAACAAAACAGGTCGTCATAAGAGGTGTATATGATATGGAGACGTACAAGTACACATCCTTCGATTGGGAGTTTAGGCGGTGACTGCCTCAAGCAGCCATCATGGACAGGGGGTTTTTCACGTGTCAGTATAAACAGGCGCGCCAGCGAACCTTTGGGACGATTGGGGGTGCAGATCCTGCCCAGCCGCCGCGCGCGTGGATCTCAGGGACTGCTTTGCAGAGACAGTTGGCAGGACGGCCCGTTAACACCCCCCTCTTCGTCTTGCTTCGTTTCAAACGACACCTGGGATTGGACTTTCTCGACAATTGGCACAGACCTAGACTCGGATAAAGCCTACCGATTCCCAGTGAGCAGTCAACTTGTGAGGGGGGCGGGTTGTGATAGAATCCAAAACAGCTGTAGCAGAATTCAAAGCTTCGAGTTCAGCAGAGAGTCGAGAGAGAGACTCGTTCGTGTGGAACCGCAGGGATTGGGGACCTCCTAACAACAAATGTTTTTGTGTTTGGAGTGCCGTCACCGCCAAGCTGGAAACTTGCCCCCCGGTTTTTTTTCTCTCGGGATTTTGTACTCTAGCCTTGCTCCAAAAGCAAAGAGTTGTTCGTGGTGGTCGATTTGGCAGCCTTGAATTCCTTCCCGGTACAACTCCTTTAAACATCGCGCCCCGCGCTCACTCCGCCTCCCGTCACCCCATCTCGAAACTTTGTCCGATAAACAACAACTTCCACCCACTGCAGGCACGGCTCCCCGCATGACTCGGTCTCAAGTGGCGGACAATCAACTACGAAAACCAACCCGACCGTCCTGTGTTAAACGCCTGGCTGTTTTGGCCGTGGTAGGCGAATCGAGCAAAATGGCCACTCCCGGTTTGCTCAAGAGTAACAGTGCGCTACCTTTTCCCTAACAACCTGCCTTGCTGCCAACCTACCTGCCCCCCGCCGGCCTTGTCCAGGTGAGGCAGTTGCCTGCCCTTCACCCGAAGTTGCCCGGATGCCATCTGCCCAAAACCCCACTCTTCGTCGTCCATCACTTGCACGTCGGGCCTGGGGCACATGTCAACCACGACCGCAGACATTGTTACTACTTCGAGTTTCTACTTAGCGTGGTCCATGTCATTGCCATCTCCGTCGCGTCGTCCACCAGGGAGCTCAAGTCGGTTGTTGCCTCCAGCTTGCTGACATGAAGGATTCGATATCTGCAGAGAAAGCCGCCGCCGAATGCGTCTCGGACGATGCGCTTATCCACCTCAAGACGTACAAATATTCGGCCGTCGACAAGTCGCCCGTCTCCAATTACATCCTTAAGCCCTACGTATGTTAGCCCCTCGCGCGCGCCTCTCTCCGACCCGACAGGCCTGTAAATAGTGTGAAGAATATCGATGCTAAGATTTGAGGCGCGGTAGTGGAATGCCTTCGTCGAGTTCCTGCCATTATGGGTTGCCCCCAACATGGTGACCCTAATTGGGTTCTCCTTCATTGTGGCTAATGTCGGCCTCCTATTGATATTTATGCCAGATCTGGTTGGCCCGGTAAGACACCCCGTGAATCCTCCAAAAGATTGAGTGTAGCTTTCGTTGCTGACCGATGACTTGGTATTGTCGTATAGGGTCCTTCGTGGCTATACTTCAGCTTCGCTTTCGGCCTCTTCGCGTATCAGACGATGGACAATGTCGACGGCAAACAGGCGAGACGCACCGGAACCTCCAGCGGCCTCGGAGAGCTCTTCGACCACGGCATCGACAGTCTCAACTGCACACTCGCCAGCTTGCTCGAAACCGCCGCTATGGGTCTGGGCACTACCAAGGCCGGTGTCTTCACTGCTCTGTGCCCCTGCCTGCCCATGTGGTTCTCGACCTGGGAAACATACCACACTCATACTCTCTACCTCGGATACATCAACGGACCTACAGAGGGAATCCTGATTGCTTGCTTGCTGATGGCGATCAGCGGGTGGTATGGCCCTGAAATCTGGTCCGAAAGACTGGCCGATAACCTCCACCTGTTCAGCTTCCTCGGGTTGAACGAAGAGAATCTGGGCGACACCTCCTTCCAGGACATTTGGGTCTACTTCCTCATTGGCGCCATGTTCGTCCACATTCCATTCTGCATCATCAACGTCGTCAATGCCCGCCTGTCGCGCAACGAGCCTCTTCTTCCGGTCTTCCTCGAGTGGACCCCGATGGTCGTTTTTACCCTCAGCGTTGGCGCCTGGCTCTATAGCCCATACTCGACATTGATGGACGAGAACCACCTGGTGCTTTTCTGTGTTACCATGAGCTTCGTCTTTGGCCGCATGACCACCAAGATGATTCTCGCTCATCTCACCAAGCAGCCCTTCCCCTACTGGACTGTCATGCTCTGGCCTTTGGTCGGAGGTGCCTTCATCGGAAACCTCCCTCGTTTCGGACTTCCTGCTGTCACGGCGCAATTCGAGCACCTTTACCTGTGGGCTTACCTGGTGTTTGCCTTCGTCGTCTACTCTCGCTGGGCTTGGTTGGTCACTACGAGCATTTGCGACTTCCTTGGTATCAACTGCCTTACCATTCCCCACGAGAAGCAGATGGCCAACAAGCAGATAGCGAGGGAGATCGCGGCGCAGACCGCTGCCGCCGTTCCCGTTGGCCCCGCCAAGAAGGATTAAGAACAGCGCGTAAGCATAAAAGCAACGCAAAGATCCTACGTTCTTTTCTTGCACCTATTTTGATTCTGGCTTTGGAAGAAGCTTATATATACTAGAATCGAACTACACCATAGAGCGGCCGAGTTGGCTAGACTGGCGTGTGCAGCGTTGCCTTTCGCATATAGAGCTCGGAATGCATTGGTATTAGGGTATATATATCAGATACCCCTCGGGGTTGTGGGTTTAATGTCAGGAAAGGTCAACAAAAATCAAAACACACGAGACGGTGCGTGGAAACGTTGGGAACAACGGCAGTGCGTTTTGGAAAAGCAGTGGACAGCCTTCCTTGGGTGGGTTGGTCAGTGGTATGGAATGTACTATATAATCGGGATAGATTCATGAAGGATGATGGATGAGTATGACAGAGTCTTAATGGCTCTCTAATGAAGCTGGATAATACATGAAAAAAAAGGGCTTCCACAAAGTGTATGGATATCGGGTCCTTTCCGGCTGTGTGCTAATACCCAAACAGCGGCACTCTCTTTGGGCACTTCGATATCACCTTCCTTGACTCGATATCATGTTTGAAAACGTTGGAAGTTGAAGCAGGAGCTCACAAACCGCACTAACAGAACTGCCCTGGCCCCTCACGTCCAGGATCTTGATGGTACCAACCGAACAAGAGTATGTTATTTCCTACAATCTGGCCCCTTTCCCGGGGAGCGCTATCCAGGTCCCAAAAACTTGCCCTACATAGGGTTTTCTTAGCAATTCTCCAGCCACGAAAATGACCTTCTACGTAAGATTTGGGAATTCCCTTAAGCGCCCGCTAATAATATTTGTACTATTATACCTCGTTTGCGCTATATCCCCGCGGCTTTTTTCTAAATTTCCCGCGGTAATTACTAGCCTTTAAATTTCGCGTAATTGTAATTACGATTGTAATAGAAGGACTATATTTCCCCTTTCCCGTCCCCATATATATATATATATATTCTACTATTAAGGTATAACCCTATATCAAAAATTATTAATATATATACTTATATATTAACGTCCTAATGTTAATAATAAGTAAGCGGTTTATTAAGTATTATATATAATAATATTATATTTATATATTCATTACTTATTTAATGCTATTCCGAAGCGGGGAAATAGGGCGATTCCTAATAGATTCTCCGATATTGATTAATAAAATTTATTTCAGCCAATTATTTATAGAAGCAATTGCCGATGATACTAAACTTAGTCCTACTCCTAATATATTTAATAAATTCACGCTTCTTCAATATATAGACGCAAAAGTAGAAAATACATTCCTATATATATTAAATTTATTTCCCGTACTATCTTCGCTTATTTCTGGTACTATTAATAAGGATAATAATATCCTTAATTAATATAACTGATACAAGTAACAGGGTTATAACTTTATTTAATTAATTTAGATAATTCTACATGAATTTAACGGCGGTCTTTACATCTTTAATAATATAATAGTTATTCGGTAGCGTTATTATAAAGTAGGAGTATTCCGTATTATATTTAACGAATAGAATTACGATTAGCAATAGATTTTATAATTCTAATTACTAAGGGATTTTTATACGAACTGGAAAAGGATAGCGCCCAGAACTAACACACTTACAGTAAAATATAAATATTACTACTGGTTTTATAAGAAAGAACTATCGCTTAGTATAGGAAAAGGAAAGATTTTAAAGCCTATTTACATTTATTTTCTTTATTCTATACGCTTTAAATAAGTAGTATAAAATGAAGACGGTTTTAAGGAAGTTATTATTAATTACTATATTTATAATATAGATTTCTATAATTAAATTATTTTATTAAAAACTATAGAAGAGTACGCCGCGTTTTTACTTCTAATAAATTATCCTATTACTATAGTAGAAAGAATAGTTTTTAAGTGCGATAATTCCGTATATAAAGAGCGAATTATTCGTTGCAAGGGATATTATTTTACTATTAAGAAATTGATTAATATTATTATATTATTTAGCTTCAAAGCGAAAAAGACAGAACGCTTTGCTAATAGAGACTTTATTCTTGAAAAGGAGTATAACGAATATTTTGAAGAAATTGAGCGGTTTAAAGATTAGAGAATTAGGCGAATCTTTTTACTAATAGTTAATTTAAAAACGAAAAAAATTGGGGAAAAACTTATATAGGAGCTTGTTTTTATAAAAGACGAATACTTAAACATTTTGTAGGATTGCAGCGTAATTATTATTATAGATATAATATATAATATAAATTATTACTGCTTCTTTTTATTTATAATTATAGTATAGAGTAATTACGGTTTATAGCTTCCTATTATTATTATTTTTTATTATTAAATAAATTAGCAAGATTATTAGCGAATATTTAAAGCTATTAATTAAATAGTATAGTAATTTACGAAGTTAAATATTTAAATATATAGTTATAGACGATTCGGTAATTAAATAAAAGGATGTACAGTTTATTTTTAATATTAATAATTATGGGGAAGATGCCGTCGAATATTTGTTATACAGGAAGTATATTTAGGGTACGCTTTATAAAAATCTCTCTAAGGTAATGATTATATTTTACGAATTATAATTATAGCTTTATATAACCAGTTAATAGAAGAAAAGTACTTCGAGTCTATTAATTAAGTTATTTTCTATTATAACCTAAAATAAATAGGGTATTTCTATAGAAATTAGCGCTCTTATACTAAGTATTAAGTATATTAATTTAAATATACGATCCTGCTACTTTTATAAATTGATATCACGAATGTAATTGTGTTTTAGTATAATTATTATAAAATTATTAATGTCTTTTTAAAATAGGAGATAATTGCGTAGTATAGTTTAAAAGGTTCTTTCTACGTAGTTATTAATAGAATATACAATTATTTTTGCCGGGTTAAAAGGTAGCGATTCCGCTTAAAAATTTATTAGAGGCTATTAATAATTATTTTTCCGGATTTTAGGTTTAATTAGTTACTAATCTATATATAGACGTTCGTTTTCCGATAATATCATATTACTAAAAGATAGCGGCGGAAATAGTAACCCCTTAAATTTAAATATATTTATATATTTGGTTAGGAAATATTATTGTTACCTTTAGGAAAATAATTTAATAAATAAAATAAGCTTCTCCCTTACAATTTATTAACTATTAATTCGCTAATATTACAATTTCATTTTTTTTGTAATAAAGTAAAAAATAAAGAGTCGAATAGTATTTTTATTCCCGAACGATTATTAGTTGAATAAAACGATTTTTATAAATTATAAAATAAGAGATTTTTGAATTTTAAAAATAATCTGGTAGGTATAAATAAACGCTTTATAAGTATATTACCATATAAATATTTTTAATTTATTATTTAGTAATTACTTTATATTTATATCTAGTATTACTACTTTTTCTTTAATTTGTTGCAATCTATTTATTTTATTTAATTAATTAATCTTTAAGTAGAAAATAAATTCGAAGTTTACGAAGAAATTTATATATTATTTAAGGGTATTTTTAATTATATTATTAGTATATTTCGAAAGTATAGGTTAAATTTTTAAGAAGTTAATGAGTAATTATTTGCGAAAGTTTGGGAGATTTTAAATTTTATAGAAATTAACGATAGTAGTCTAAATAAATTAGACTGAATATTAAATAACTTTTACCATATAGTTCGAAATAGTATTAACATTATTAGTGCTATTAGAATAAAAGAATTAATTTAATTATTAGAAGAAGCGTGGATTAGATTTTAGAAGTATATATATAGAGTAGGATAGGAGGGGAATTTGTTAGTTCGTTACTTAAATTTTAATATTAATTTAATTGAAATTCTTTTAATTTATAATATTTATTTAATTCTCGGTATTACTCTATTATAAATTTATATACTTCCTCTCTTTCGAAAGTTTTAATTGGTTTTATATCTTGCGTTGTATTTGTAATTTGCGGGAAATAAGCTTCTTGGATATATGTTAATATTATTTAAATTTAGAATTTTTAAACGTTTTTCTTAGGTAGTACCCTTTAGTTTTATAGCGTAGTATAGAGAATAATATAGTTTTTTACTTTGTACTGGGAAGTATGTTTTTATATAGGGTATTAATATATATTAATTATAATTGTTTATGATCAATACTAAATTACTATATTTGCGTATAAATTTATAAAATATTATATATATATTTATTATACTTAAATAAATTATTTTATTAATTTTTATAATTTGTATCCAAGTATATAATCATACTTGTAGGTAAATATTTAAATAGTTTATAAATTACTATTAGGCTATTACCCTGTATTAATATTATATATAAGTAATAAAATAAAAAATATTAAAATATTCTTAATTAGGAATAATAATTAATAATAGTAATAATAATCTTATTCATGCTTTGACTATTTTAATATAGTCACCTTATTTAGACATACGGTCCTTCGTTGTTCAAAGCCGGGCGGAAAAACCGTATATCTACCACAAATACTAGATAAAAACCTCCCACGTCTTTATATCTAATGTATCCTTCCTTCGATCTAAACCTTCCCTTCGTTATTTTCCTATAGTTAGCCCCTTTACCTCTACCCTTATTGTCGCTTGAGATCGTCTATTTTTATAGTGGGGAAGGGGGAAGGAAGAGGGGTTTTATAGATTTCGATTAGCGTTCTTAAAGTCTTCTTTCGGCCCGAAGGCCCTAATTTCAAAGCGAAGGTAAATATTACCCTACTTACTTAGGGAATCGTGCGCTAATTGGGCGGAGAAGTTGTCGTACTATTAAATAGGGTAATTGCTTTTCGGAGAGTAGAGAATCGATTTAAATTTATTTAGTGCGGCGTCGCTATCGAGGAAGAGATTTTCAAGCGCTAAGTCGCTTTATCCTAGGGTTTTGGATTAGGGAGAGTCCTATAAGTTTAATTACATACTCATGGTGGGGGAGGAATTCTAATGCCGATCCCGAACCCAAAAAAAATCGGATGGAAGGGAGGGGAGCGGGATTCGAACCCACGACCTTACGGAAATAACCGTAAGGTAAATTAAGCCTAGATCTTCCCAACTAAGCTATCCCCCTGATAATTAATAATATAATAAATTTATTTGTACTTTCTATCCGTACCTTCCATTTTTACCTTCTATCCGCACCTTCTATTTGAAAATTTATATAATACGTTTAAAATAAATTCATTTGAATAAATATTCTTGATTAAAAAATCTGCACCCCTCTTTCCTTATCCTTTTTTCGTCGTATATTCTTTTCCTTCTTTCCTTTCTCCTTTTATAACTTTATAATTATAATAAACTTTATACGTATCCTTTATATACCTATTTTTATATATTTATTTTTAATAATATTTATATATTTATAGCGAGTTCTATTATATTGCGCTCTTTTCCCGCTATTGTAAGTATTTAATTTTATTATTAAACGAATTTGAATGGTAATTAATATTATAATTATTTAATATATAACGAAATTCGCGAATATAAGCGCTTAAATACGTGTTAGGAAAAGGAGCGCCGCCGCTGGAAATAATAAGAAGGCGACCCTTAATAAGCGTAGTCATATAAAATACCTTTTATTTCCCTATTATTTTATAAGTATTAATATATTATATTATAGAAGAACAATAATAACGACGATGAAGAGGAGGAGGAGGAGGTTGAGGATACGCCCCTCCCTACCCTATTTAAAAAACCTAACGACCTTTTTAGTACGAAGAGAGCTTTACCTTACAATTTTTATTTAAGTAGAATTATTAGGAATAAAAGTAGCGACCCTTGAAAATATTATAATTAAGCGGGCGTTAAAGGTATTTATTGGGAGTACGCGAAGAGTAGTTATATTAAAACCTATTTGCTTGTAAATTTCTTTTATTTAATTATTCTTTAATTTTTGCTAACTTATTTAAGTTCCGCCTTTTATTATTCTTACTTTGAGGGTTTAGTAGCAGAAAAATTAAATTATAAAAATAAAGAAATATAATAAGACCTTTTTCTAATAAAATTAAGAATTCGTTAAATAGTAACGTAAATAGAAAAAATAAAGTATTAGTATTATTATACCTATAACCCCCGTTACCCCTGCTATTTTCCCTCCGGTTTTTAATATAGTTCCCCGAAATACCATTATTATTAAAACCAATAAGGAAAAATGGAAGGGATTGAAAATAGACCTCCTTAACCACTAAATATAAATTATAGAGTATATAGCGGATTCGGCGTTTTTAATATAGAAAGCTATAGAGAGAATAGCCGAGGATGTTAACTCTATAAAAGCGAATTTGGAAAATTATAATAAAAATATAGTAAGTAAAAAAAATTAGTTTTTTTTATGGGATAATAGTAAGATAATTATTAATTAGTTTTTAAGATAATTTTATTTATTTTTTTTACGCAAAATTTCGATTACTTCCCTATTAAATAGTTTGCCCGAAAGTATTAAATATATATCCTCCGTTAATAGCTCTAACTTTTATAAAAGTATTAATAATAATAACGAAAATAAGAATAACGTTAATAATAAGAATGTTAATAGCGAAGAGGATAATATTAATAAGAATATTAATAAGAATAAAAATATTAATAAAAATAATAGTATTAATAACGAAGAGATATAAAAGGATTAGTAGTAAGATATTTATTAATTAATAATTTTATTACTATTTATTTTATTACTTTCAAGAGGTTTTTATTATTTAAGGGGACTTTTGCCTATTATTTTAACTTTTTTTACTTTTATATAACAAATAGCTCCAAAATTATCCCGCACTTTTAAAGTACTAGAATATATAAAATTCATTTTAAAATGACGAGAAAAAAAAGTATAACGTAACGATGATAATAATAAAAATGAAATTTTTTCGTAATTATTATAGTGGGTAAACAACGTTATTAATATATAAAATTAAATTTCGATATTATAAATTATAATACTTAATATTAAATCTTTCAATATTATATTTATAAATTCTATACTTTAAAGTAAGGCTCTCCTAACTATAATAATACTATTTACAAAATTTTAGGAATTTAACCTCACTTTTGCATTATATATAACAATGCCGGTATCGCTATTATAATGCCAGCCGATATATACATTCTGGCCAGCACCCGCCCACAGCTTTAGCGCGTATACCCCGCTAATTTTGCGCAATAAGCACGATTGCGCAGGGGATTTTGAAGTTACTAGTGATATTGCTGTTTATCCGTGCGGTGGCTAGAGTCAGGGCTGTGCACTTCCGAAACGGGTTAGATTTTGGGACCTGGATAGCGACCCCCCCCTTTCCCCGCACATTATTTCTAGGGGTCCCGCAGTGCCTGCACCAGGGCAGCCCGGGGTGGTAGAGCCCCAGCTCTCCAGGTACCGGACCACCCTTGTCCGTTGAGAGCTCCTTTCCCCGGTTCATTTGAAGTCTCATTCTTCGCCAGGAGGGACTCTCATTAGGATGAAGCGGCGAGAGTGATACTACGGACCATGGTACAATAGTTCACTGGTGTTTAGTTTTCTTTCATTCAAGTTCCCGGAGAGGTTTTTGAGACAACTTCTGTTTAGCGGAATTCTTACGAACAACAATGGATTAGACGACCTTTGTCACCCGGCCAACAGAACTTACCCTCAAAACAACTTATTCCGTCGATCACACCACAACCTCTCTATTCAAGTGAACGAATCCGGAACGCCTTGGGTGGGAGATATTCACAATGGCTCGGCACAGCGGGCTTGGCCTGAACAATCGCCATCGCTCCTCACAGCCAACCTCGCTCCCACGCCGTCTCCTCTCCGCCCTCCTCCTCACAACAACCACCACCCTCCTCACCACCACGCCCGCCGGCGTACACGCCTACACCCCCCTCTCCACCTGCAGCCTCCAACACCTCCCCTCCGGTCCCCCCTCCGACTTCGACATCCACCCCGGGTCCGGGTCCGACTCCCTCCTGGCCCCCATCCTAATCCCCCGCGTCCCCGGCACCGAAGGCTCTCGCCTCGTCCAACAGCACTTTGTCGATTTCTTTTCCTCCCAACTGCCCGACTGGACGCTCGAGTGGCAGAACTCAACGTCCACCACGCCCGCAACAGGGTCACAGCTCATCCCGTTTTCGAATTTGATCTTACGAAGGGACCCACCTTGGGCAAAGGCGGGGACGAAAAAGGAGGGGAACGTGAAGAGACTGACGCTGGCGGCACATTATGATAGTTTGTATAGACCGGAGGGGTTTATTGGGGCTGTGGATAGTGCGGCGCCTTGTGCTATACTGATGCAGGTGGCGAGGGCGGTGGATGGGGCGTTGGGGAGACGGTGGGAGGGGGTTATGGCTAGGAAACAAAAGGAGGAGGAGGGGGGTGGGTTGGGGTTGGGGTTGGAGGATGAGGAATTTGGGGAAGAGGAGGAGAAGGGAGTGCAGATTGTGTTGTTCGATGGCGAGGAGGCGTGGGTGAGGTGGACGAATACGGATTCGACTTATGGTTCTAGGTATGTGGTTACTACTGCAGTGGGATTGTTGTTGTTGGTGATGTCTGCTGTGGTGATGGTGAAGAAGTTCTGAGAATGCATACTAATAAATTTATTATTTTCCTTGGAAATAGAGCATTGGCTGAAGCCTGGGAATCCTCTCCATACGAGGCCTCATCAACCCACTCCAACCGGCTGGAGTCCATCAGCCTGCTCGTACTCCTGGATCTCTTGGGGGCAGAGAACCCCCGGATCCCCTCCTACTTCTGGGACACGCACGGGGCGTACGGGGACCTGGCCAAGATCGAGGCCAGGCTACGGGAGCTGGGGGTTCTGGAAACTGCTCCCGCTTCTCCGTTCCTACCGGATAGCGGGAAACCGTATAACCGGTTTACGAGGGGGTATATACAAGATGATCATGTTCCGTTCATGGAACGCGGTGTCAAGGTGTTGCATATCATACCGACGCCGTTCCCGCCTGTGTGGCATACTATGGATGATGATGGGGAACATCTTGATTTGCCGACTGTGAGGGATTGGGCTAAGATTATGACGGCGTTTGTTGCGGAGTGGATGGATCTTGATGGCGTGCTTTCGGAAGAAGGCTGTGTTGTGGGAGAAGAGAAGGGCAGCGGCAGCATGGAGAAAGACGAGCTCTAGTGGTGCTGGGGGCTGGTTATATTGGCGATATCCCGAATGGATACCCTTCGGAAGGCTCTAGATAAAAAAATGAATGTTTCTCTTTCAGCATGACAATGATTGTGTAGACTCTGAACCTAGAGCTGCGGCCGTGTGAGCGCTTGTTGCCTTCAACCTTCCATTATACTCAGTCTCATGATCTACAGTCTATCGCTAAGCACACACTATTTCTAAAAACATTATCTTCGCAGAAACACTGATATTGGCTTTTCGTATAAAGTTGAACGGATGTGTAAGTGAAGGGGTCCTAGGCCCACCCCTGGCGTAAACGAAGTAATTACCCTCCACGTAATTGTCTTGGCGGACATGGTACGTCCGCTATGCATGGGTGGAAGCTCTGGAAGCTGAACGTGTTCATTGAATGCTCCAAAGTTTCACCCCAGCGCATCTACGAATCTACGAATCCATTGCGCTTTTCCCTTGAGAGTGTGCTCTGTTTCTACAAACGAGCTCCTAGCACACATCAAGAAAGATGCGGTTCACTCAGGCACTTTTGCTGCTTGCGGCGGGCGCTGCACAGGCAGCATCGTCTTGGAGCTTCGACGACGCCAGTGTGTCGGTTGCTGCCAAGAAGGGCAGTGATGCCATCAAGGAGAAGTAGGTTCGCGCGCGAGACCATGGGATTTCATGCCCCCTCCTCAACGCCAATTACTAACACCCGTTTGCGCAGGTTCAGCCAGAAGGCCCCTCTTACGAAACCCGTTGGACTTGGAAGCACCGATACCGTCAAGATTATCTTGACTGCGAAGGAAGATGGCAAGGCAAAGCGGCCGCACCAGGCCTTTGTGACCATCAAGGAGCAGGAAACTGGGCTCGAGGCTCCTTTCCCCTTGACGGTCAAGGACACCGGCAAGGCGGTGGTACAGATTGTGAGTTGCTCTATCGATGGCAGGCAAGATTGGATCGTTGAGAGCTTGGAATTAACGGTTCGGCGCAATACAGTCTCAGAAGGATCTCCCCGTCCAATTCCTCTTGTCGCCCAAGCCCCTCAAGGCGTCCGTGGTCATCGGCTCCTTCGGCGAGGCTCGCGCTGTCAACACCCCGGTCTTCGACATCGAACTCCAGACGGATCCCAATGCCCCGGTGCCCAAGTACGAAGCGCCCGTTCGCTACGGCAAGAAGCCTGAGATTCACCATATCTTCCGCCCTGGTCCGCAAAGCCCGCCCAAGGTCATTTCGCTATTCTTTGCCCTTGCCGTAGCCGCTATGGTTCCGGTTCTTTTCATCAGCGTGAGTTGTAACCCTGGTCATCTACCTGTATACACGCGGAGTGTTGTTGTTGGTGCTAACAATGTCTTTTCTTCGGCAGTGGCTCTTGCTCGGCGCAAACGTCAACCACTTGACCAAGGCCCTCGGTGCCGCGCCCTTGTCGCACGTTACCTTCTTCGGCTCCATCGTGGCCATGGAGGGTGTGTTTTTCATGTACTATACCAGCTGGAACTTGTTCCAGGTCCTTCCCGTTGCTGGCGTGGTGGGCGTCGTCACCGTGCTGAGCGGCACCAAGGCTCTGGGAGAGGTTCAGAGCAGACGTCTCGCAGGGGAACGCTAAGCGACGAAGATGTCCGTTGGGAGATCGATGCACGAATGCTTCTGGAACCAAGAGTCTACAACGAAGTGGTTAAGGTGCGACCACCTTGTAGCTTTCCCTAGCAATGGCTGGACAATGCTTGAGGTTGTTACCCAGATATATACCAGCGCGACTGATTTTGATAGACAAAACTAGAAATACAGACTATGTACCAAGAACCGATTGAAATAATGGTTCAAGTTGCCTAGGGCGGTGGCTGGTTGATTGTCTCTGTCAAATCTATGATTCTCACATCGGCCCTTCCACGACTGTCCTGAAGCAAGCAAGGGAGCATCAATGGGCCGAAATTGCTGTTCATCCAGAAACTTACCACGGTCAATAATCGCAGAGTTATTTTGGTCTTAGTCAACCAGACATCGTGTCAGCCGCTTGCCCTGCTGCCCTGGCGATAGCAGCCGCTGAAACTCATACACGCCGCACGCAGGCGTCGGCTCAGCACAAATGGAAGTGAGGTGGCTGGTAACGATCACAATTTGAAACCTCTCTCTTTGGTTGGCACATCGAGACCGTGAACCGGTTCTTCGGTCACCTCAACCGGGAAACAAGTGAGACGTGGACGGACCTGACTGCTGTGCTGGTGGTCTTGCTGGTGGTTCCTTGCTGTCGTGCTTGGTGCCCAATATCACCATCGCTCCAACTTTTTCGTTTTTAATCCTTCGCGTTCATTTGACATGCAAGAACATTCAAAGCTTGTACAGCGGATAGCTTCCTTAGTTTTTAAGTTTGCGACTTGAAGTTGGGAAGTTTGGGTTGAAGAAGGTCCTGCAAGTGTCACCCAGGAGTTAGCCGTTAGGTGGTGCAGCCAGTGAACGATAGGGGAAGCGCTAACAGCTGTACAGGGCGGTGAAAGGAGCAGGTTCCCGGTTTGGAGGTGTCCACCCCAACACGCCGACCGTGGCTGCCCCACCTTCAAGTATCCTTGTAGTGGATGTAAACAAATGCGGCAGCAAATGGACAAATGAGAGCTCCAGTTTCCCATCAGATCGCGTTTTCTCCAAATTCCCAGCCTGCCACTTCCACTTGCACCCACACATCCCGTTTTCCTTCCACCGAGTCGCATCCAAACCCGCTTGGCCCTGTCCCCTGCCAGGTGCGACACCATTGACGTTGGGCTTTTTGGAACTCGCAACTTCAATTAATCGCGTCGCAGTTCGATTTACTCCCCAATCCAGCATGCGCACAGTATCTCGACTTCCAGCTCAACTATCAAGCGCTCGTTCCTGATCGCTTTGCTTCCTTTGCCTCGACGACCTTTCCCACGGATACAACCTTCCATTGTGACTACTTGCGACCCGCAGAAAAGAAAGCGCAACGCGCTCGAGCGAGTGTTGTGTTGTCGCTGCTTGCGCCTGCCCTGATTCCGGGTTGGCTAGAGGGAATCCGTCCACCGACCGTGACGCTGGCCAACACCACGCTCGACGCGCCCCTCCGACCTCGATTTCCAACTTGCTATGGACATCAACAGAAATAACAATTCCCATAATAGCAAACCGAAGCATATCTCTAGGTTAAAACAAGAGATGTACCAACTACGGCTTAAGAACAACCCTTTCGGCTCCCCGCCCTCATCCACCGGCGACCATGACACGGTTAGCACCACCACCGAGGACCTCTCGCGCAACCTGTCCGCCTTCTCCTTTAATCCCGACGACGAGGGCACCCGCAAGGCCAGTGAGGACTACAGGCTCCCTACCAAGCGACACGCTACTCGCTCCGGCCGTTTTGGCTCGCGGCAGCAACAAGAACAGCAACAGGCCACCATGCTAAACACCTCGGCCATCGGCCGCGCCTTTCCCGAATGGACTGGCCCAATTAACGATACGGCCCCAACGACACAGAACTTTGATACCAATATTGCCTACAATCCATATTCCGAAGCCAAGAACCGCAAAGAGAACATCCGCCCTATCACCGAGCTAACGGAGGAGCACCTCCTCAACTACGGGTTGGATCCTAAGAAGAAGACCCGTGTGGAGATGCAGCCTCGAGTTGAGAACGAGTCCGACTGCTCGACCATTCTCTCCAGATCGCCTGGCCGGGGCGCTCGTCGCTCTCGGTTCAACAACGCCCATATGGAAAACAGAGCCGCCTCGCCAGAAGTTCCCAAGCGCTCTCTTCAGGATATCGTCTCCAAGATTCGTACCGAGAAGGAAGCCAACAGAAACCAGCTATCCCAAAGCGCCATGCCGCCGAAACAATCTCAGCCCATACATGCCAGTCTCAACGCCTTCCTGAACTCGGACCTTGCTGCGGAAAAGACCAACGTGGGCCCTACTGAAGGTCGATCTTTCTTTCTTCCAGCTTTTAGACATTTGCCCGACTGGACATCAGGAGCCCTCAAGTTTAATACCATGAGAGACGGCGTCCCTGTGTTCGTCAAGTCTGGTAAGAACGGCGTACGGCTCGGTCAGTCTGGCGACCACGAACCCATCAATGCTGTCGGCATTCCTGAGGAGGACGAGCAGATCTTTGTCTCCATGGATAAGCTCCAGGAGGAGGTTCGCGAACTCCATGATCATGACGCCATGCTCCAGCGCGAAGCGGAGAAGCTTCAGCGGGAAGTCAATCAGCTCCAGTCTGAACTTAAGCGTTACAAGACTAGAAGACCATCGGACAGTGCCATAGGATCAGACTCCGATGGCTCATTCGGCAGACATGCTCAAGCGAATGGGTACCAGCTTGAGACTCAGATCGCTCAGCTACAGAATCGTCTCGATCAGGCCAGCAGGCAGGTTGGAGTACAAGATATCCACAGTACAGCACTCGCGGCAGAGCGCGACGAGGCCTTGCATCAGGCGTCACTTGCTCGCGAGAGAGCGAAGCGACTACAGGCCGAGCTCGAGTCTACGCAAAAAGATCTCGAGTTCACCCTTCAATACCGCAAAGACAAGGACTCCCTACAGAATGAGAATATCGCTCTACGCACTACCAATGAGGAGCTTAAACAGAAAAACGAGGCTCTCTCGCAAGCGAACCAGGAGCTTTCCACAAAGTACGACAGACTTCGCCGGGAACATATGTCAGCACAAAAAGACCTGGCTTCAACCCAAGAGGAGCTTGCATCTTTGCGCAAGAAGTATGATGCTATCCTGGAGGAGAAGAAGCTTATCGTTCAAGACCATGCGAGCATGGAATGTAACAATGAGAGCTACTTCAAGGAGACCAAGAAGCTTCAGGCGCAGATTGCCGCCAGGGATCAACATATCGCCGACCTCAAGAGAGGAATCAGCACTCGGGATCAGATGATCGACAACATCGGAGGGCTGACAACAAACACGGCAGTCATCGAGCTCAATGCTGAGCTAGAGGCCGAAATCGAACGGTTGAAGCAGAAGCTGCAACAACAACAGGCGACCAGGACTAATGATAGGGATGGGTCAATCAGCGCAAAAGAAGGCAGGATTCGTGTTCTCAAAGAGCAAAATCTTGAGCTAGAGTGTGAGAAGCAGAAGCTCCTGGAAGAGAACCAGCGGCTTCGCGCAGAGTATGAGGAGATGAGGAACCAGTGGATCGATGATCGTCATAAGGTGGTTCGACTCAACCAACTCCTCACCAAGAACAACACTGAGTTCCTCAAGACCATGAACGACAACACCGAAGACTGTGTCCGCTTGGAGGAGGACTTCAAGAACAAGGAGGCAACTCTCCGTCAAAAACTGGAGCGCCGAGAGGCAGCCATCAAGAAGGTCAAGCAGTTGACCGCGCAGATCAACGAGATCTCACAAAGGGAACTTTTGGGCAAACCTTCAAAGGTCACGCGGATCGTGGAGCCGAAAGATGGCACTAGCACTAGATATGCTGCGAGCGATCTGACTGGAAAGAGCGGTACCATGAATGTTGATGACGACCCAACAACGGAACTTAACCTGACCCAAGGGACCGATTTTGCCAGCATCGTGGATAACGAGATTGCGAGGTTGAAGCAAACCTACCGAGACTTCGAAAATCAGCAGCGGCAAAGCGAGAATGATAACACCACGCAAGCGTCACAAACAGGTGATGCGGTCCAGTCCAAGAATCAACCGGCCGGTATCCTTAAGAAGTCGAGTCGATTTGCGTTCGACGAAGATACTGGTCGTTTCAGTGTCAAGTCTGCTTTCAGCGTCGCCAGTCACCACAGCGACAACGAGTCTGTCAAGACTGCGACTACCAGCAAGAGCCGCCGGCCTTCATCGATGGGTGTCCAGGGTCAGGAAACTTCACGACCTGCATCCAGGGTGCGGCGAAACTCGGACAACCCTACCATCACGACGCAGACCGATAAGCAGTCCAACATCGGTCAGTCGGTTCCCGCGCTAAGCAAGGAGGCTCGCCGGGTACTTGATCAAATCTGCAACCACAAGTCAGATAACTGCAATGTCTGTGTTCGTATCGCAGCGAACGGACATCATGTTAGCCCATCCACCGAGGCTCCGATTACTGTCGCGGATATGAGGAAGGGAAAGAAGACTGTTCGCGTGGACAGGCCTGTCCCTGTCTCGGATCGCGCAGTTGAGGACCGTGGTAACTACGAGGAGGAGCCAACCATGCGTCCCGCCATGGCGCCAGGCGATGCGCTTGCGGTATTGATCAAGGAGATTGGCGATGAAATCGAGCACCTTCAGATGGAGCTGAAGCGTATGAATGAGCTTTACTTCAACCTGGACAAGTCTACCGGACAGCGCGAGCGTAGGCGGCTCATGGGTGAGATCAAGAAGTTGCAAGCCGAGCTTGAGACAAAAAGCGGGCAGCTGTACAAGCTGCATGATGTCCTTGAAGGACAAAAGGATGCTGGCCAGCTGATGGATGACTCCGAACTTGATATCACCATTCTGAGTGATCTGCTTCGCGTTAATGGCGCGACCGAGAACAACCAGGAGGCTTCGTGGAATGGGTTTGATGAGTAGAGCCGGTCGAGATGGTGGCACTGATGACGATGAACTTGGTCAGGGGCGTTTTGGCATTTTTCTCGGATCACATTGCATGGGTTTGCTTTAATCTCTGGGCGTTTGAGCAATTGGTTTGTTGCTCTCTGTCTTGATGACGAGCAAGGCGAAGGGGTTGTTATAAAAGTGGTTCCGCCGGTTTGCTATTGTATGGGCTTTGGCCTGGGTCTTTTTCTCATGAGGAATAATTTTGTTGTATGATTTTCTCTGTGGTCGTATCGGTCGCGGCTCAGGAGCATGGTTCGAGGTATCTGATGTATGGGTTGGGTTATAGGAAGGCTACAGGATTACGAATACAATTGACAAACCCGTTGTCTGGTTCAAAAGAGGCTTGAGTCTTCAACCTGATCAACCGCATTGATTGCGTATACCCGTTGTTCGCGAGCCATCAACACTTTCAAAAGGATAGAAAGCCGGAGCATGAAAAGTATTACAGGCAATAGGTAGTCTGGTAGCCTTTCATTTTGAAGAAAAGCATTGATTGATAGCGAAAAAGAATGCCACTGCGGTTAATTATCTTCAGGGTTAAATAAATTCATATCATGAGCCAAGCTGGCTGTGTTTGTTTATGTTCAGTTCGCAGCCCCTTTCACCCCCTGATGGCGATGATCCAGGCGTCTGGCAACCGCTACCGGGCCGATGCCAGCTGCCCGCGTCTAGGCCTGCCTGCAGCGGCACCGTTTGCTGCCACCGGCAGAGCCCCGCGGCCTGAACTTCAGTTCCAGTTCACGACAACGCCAGGCACGCGCATCCACCATCACAACCACTTTACTTTCAGCGCGCCAAACGAAACACTTCTCCCACCAACCAACAATAACTCCGACCACATACACCCAAATTTCAGCGCGCTTATCCCGAACGCACTACATCAAACTATCTACGACTTCTTTTACTCAACGAACCTTAGAACGTAGAAGTCGCCAAAATGGGTGACGACATGGAAGTCGACGATGCGCCCCTCTCGCCTCAGCAGGAGGGTGTTGCTGCCTCCGGCGGCGCCAACTCCAACTCCGCCAAGGTTGCGGCCATGCAAACCCACACCAAGGCGACCGCCGTGCGCTCCATCGAAGGCTGGATCATCATGGTGACCAACGTGCACGAGGAGGCCGACGAGGAAGCCATCCAGGACAAGTTTGGCGAGTTTGGTGAGATCAAGAATTTGCATCTTAACTTGGACAGGCGAAGCGGTTATGTCAAGGTTCGTTTGTTGTCGTTGTGGCCTTCTTCTTCTTCTTTCTAGCATTATCTGTTATTTTTGTAGTTAAAGAGTACTGATCATGTCTTCCTTGATGCGCAAATAGGGCTACGCATTGATCGAGTATCCGACGCTGGAGGAGGCGCGCGCCGCCATCGATGGCGCCCACGAGACGAAGCTCCTCGACCAGACCATCCAGGTGGACTTTGCCTTTGTGCGACCACCCCCGGGCAAGACCGGCGCTGGCGGCGGCCGTGGTGGAGGTGGTGGCGCAGGCGGCGGACGCAACGGCCCTGGCAATCGCAATAGGGGTGGACGGAGTAGGAGCCGGAGCCCCGTTGGCAGGGACGATTGAATGACGGGATAAAACATCTCGATGCGTCTTTGTCTTGCAGTACTACGGCGCGACGAATGGAATGGGCGGGAGGGAATACCTTTGGATTGCCCGAGCATACGGCTTCCGTTACAAGTACGGGTGGAACCATAGATCGCTACATTGATCTTCGACCGGGCGGAAAAGGCCAGAATGGTAGGGGACGAGAGCTGAGGATACAAAAGCATTGGGAAGAGAGTTGGGTTCAGGTAGAGACAACCTGTAAACCAAAAACTACACTCAAGTAGCCGATGTGTCGTCAAAAGAGAGCAAAAATTCCAGACACGTCGGCGCGTTGCCACGGTCTTAACAGGTATGTTGGTATTTCCCCCCGGTTTCTTCTGGAATTTAGCTAATCAAACTTTCTTCTTAGGACCTCAGATTGGCCTTGTACAACATTGCTGTGCAAAAATGTTTGCTGTGATTATACCCAGCATGAAGAACTGGGGGCTTGAGGCCTGCTTAAAAGCATGCATCGTCTTCCATTGGGCTTCCACTTCATGATGTGTCTGCAACTCCATGATGGCGGCACTTGAGTGAACTGGACCGTTCTGAGCCGCAGAATGGCCTTTGGTAACGAACAGTATAGGTAGATGGGTTTCATGTGCGTCCATACCTACTGGTTCTAGACTCGTCGGTTGTGTCGGCACTCCTCGTCGTTCACAAGCAGGCAATGAGTGAAAGGCGTCAGCTTTGAATCTGCGGGTCGTTGGACAATCTTCAGAAAGGATTGCGTTGGTTGACACAAGGGCTTTATATGACCCATCCCGGCCACACTTACCGCCTTGTCCATTGGCACAAGAGTCGCGTGTCGTCCTTCCCATTCAGTTCATATCATGGTCATCAATCCTTAGCGCCAAGGGTATGAATCCACAATGCCGGGGCTTGGTAAGGCTGTGACGGAAGCGCTGAGCCGGAACTCCTGTCAGACTCGGCAATACATAAGACTTCGTTCTTCCATAAATCATTCGTTTTCTTTGCATTCAAGGTAAATCGTTTGCTAATCTCTTTCTTCGAGCGTTTGCTCGTTCCTAGTGGAACTCGTACCTGTTCTTGAATTTCTTGTCCGAGTTTCCATCTTCATGATCAAACTTCACGGTTACAGCATCCGTAATCAACGCTCTATTTTCCTAAATGGATCACTATAAGACAGCAACGTCATCATCCGCCACAGCGGCAGGGGCACCTGCGCCGAACCTCTTAGGGGCATCACTGCGTGAAAGTCGGGATCCAGGAAGAACACGATCACGATCAGAGCCCAAACTTGATGCCTCTCGGGCCAGGTCAACCAGTACCAGATCTTACCTTTCACTCCCAGTGTCAGCTATTCGTCAGAGCTATTTGGACACGCTTGTGCCCCCAACGATTACAGAATTTGACCAAATCGCCGCAATCCAGGCCGAACGTGAGGCCGAAACGAAGAGGAAGCAGCTCGAGCTTCGCCGGCGAAGTCTCGAACAGGCCCAACTCCAATCCAACTTACTGCAACCGCCACAGCACCATGACAACCCCTCGGAACTTGCATCGTCTCGCCGCTCCAGGGCACTTTCCATCACCACTCGTTTAGGACTTACACGCCAGAGAGCCGACAGTGATAACGGCGTTCGTACCAAAGCCGCTGCTCTGATTCAGCGAACCTACCGGGGCTACCGTGTCCGCCGTCAGCTCAAAGGCCTGGATTTGGACCCTTCAACAAGATGGAAACATGCAGTCCGTGAGGCTCAATGGCGCGAGCTAGTAAAGCCTCGTTCTCGGAGCAATCTTGGGATGTTGGGTAGTTGCAGGAGTATGCCGGGTGATCCGGAGTCTGGAGCAACCTCTTTTACCTTCGGTAGCCGATCGTCAATAGCACGGCAAAACTGGAAGAAGGTAGCCACTATCGCACGCCGTGCAGGGGCGGATATAGATGGCGATGATTACTCTAGCGACTCTTCCTCCTCCTCGTCTCGCCCCTCGTCTTCATCGCACAGTGGAGAGTCCGGTCAAGAAAGGAGGCAGAGAAGGCAGGAAGCGCGCAGGGCCTTGAACGAGGCCAAGGAACGACGAAAGGCCGCCGCGAGAATGATGGGACTCCAGTACCTTCTTGAGATGGTGGACCTGAAACACCGATACGGTGCCAACTTGAGGGTGTATCACGAGGCCTGGAAACAAGCCGACACTGACGAGAGCTTCTTCTTCTGGCTGGACCATGGCGAAGGCCGGGCTTACGATTTGGAAACATGTTCCCGTGAACAGCTAGAGCGAGAACGGATCCGATATCTCTCCTACGAGGAGCGACAGCACTACCTTGTTCAAGTCGATGACGAAGGCCGTCTGTGTTGGGCCAAGAATGGGGAACGCATTGATACATACAAAGAATGGAAAGACTCGGTCCATGGCATTGTACCGATCGATGATCCTACACCTGCGTATGTGCCGGTTAACCCTTTGGGACATGAGACCTGTCTTTTCGGCCATGCTAGTAGCAGGTCCGAAACGTCTGAGGACGAAGTAGGTGACGGTGCCGAAGACCACGCAGCGGACGAATATGCATCACCACCTACAACTAGGGTCGACGTTCCCAGCGGAACAAAGAAAATAAAGCACCTCAAAAACAACCGGCATATATCAACCGGCATAATCGTCGACAAACTCCTCCGCAAATCCGTCCGCAAAAACACCTGGATCTTCGTCGCCGATACCAACTTCCGCCTCTACGTCGGCATCAAAAACAGCGGCGCCTTCCAGCACAGCTCCTTCCTGCAGGGGAGCCGCATCTTTGCCGCCGGGTCCATCAAGATCAAGGACGGCCGACTGACGAGCCTGTCCCCGCTAAGCGGGCACTACCGCCCTCCAACATCTAGCTTCCGTGCTTTCATGCGAAGCTTGCAAGAGGAACAAGGGGTTGATATGGGCGCGGTAACGGTCTCCAAGAGCTACTCGGTGCTAGTGGGCATGGAGACGTACGTGAAGGCAAGGACTAAGGGAAAGGAGGCGCTTGGGAAGATGAGGCATCGGAAGGATAGGGTGTTGGCGCCTGAGAGGTATAGGAAGCGGGAGGAAGAGGCGAGGGATACGTCTAGTAGTGCGGCGAGAGAGCGGGAGGTTATCGAGCATGAGGAGCGGACGAGGAGGGCGAATAGTAGTATGGGCGGGCATTTGATGCAGAAGCTGGGGATCTCTTGGCGCGGTAGCCCTAAAGAACCGGAGTGATGCAAGGGGATCGAGTTCATCGATAGAGAGGGAACTTGGAGTTTGATCTCAAAGCACTTTATCATAAAGGCAATACTTCTCCCACGCTCCTCAGTTCTCATCCCTCATCGTCGACCTCGAGATTTCCTCCCATTCGCCAATCAACCGCAACGTCTCCTCGCACTTCTTCCTAATAACCTCCAGAGTATCCGTCCCCAACGCCAATCTAACAGGAACCTCCCTGCCTTTCGCCACACCATCCTTGGTCAGCACATCCACGATGACCTTGGCAGACTTGTCAACATCCCCAGGCTGTTTCCCGTTATACGCTTCCAGAGCATCATGCACCGCCGCCACCGCTGTACCTTCATAGGCCGCAATCTTTCTTTCTGTCACAACTCGGTGGTCTCCTCCTCCTCCTCCTCCGTCCCCGCCAGCGCCACGCGCCAGGAACCCCGTCTGAGTATATCCAGGCTCTATAACGCACACGTCTATGCCGAAGGGCTTCAGCTCTTCTGCAAGACCCTCGGTTAGACCACTCACGGCGAATTTGGTGCTGCAATCTAGATGTCTGGGTATTAGACTTGATCCAATTCAGAATGACAGGAGAAAAAGAATCAACTTACAATGCGCAACCCCAGCACCCGACCACCAACTCCCCAGACTCCCAAAATTGGCCAGCGCCACTTGTTGACCACCCGGAACAGCCGCCGCCGCAGCTCTGAGATATTTGGTAACTGCCCGAGCGACGTTGAAGGTTCCGAGCACATTGGTGTTGTAGTGGTCGAAGACTTCCTTGTTGCTGGCCTCCTCCACCCCTCCTTCCAAAATATACCCAGCACAATTAACCACATGGGTAATCCTTCCGTACACCTCATTCGCCTCCGCCATTTTTTGGGCTAGCGTCTCGTCGTCGCTGGTGACGTCGAGATCCATGACCGCGGCCCCGGCGGCCTTGAGTTCAACGAGTCGGGAGGAGTTCCGTGCTGTTGCGATTACTTTGTGCCCGCGGCTGAGGGACTCGAAGGCAATGGAGCGGCCGAAGCCGGAGGTGCAGCCGGTTATTAACCAGACTGGTGTTGATGGTGTTGGTGTGGGTGTGGACATTGTAATGGGTGTTTTGCGGCTGGTGGGAAAAGGTTCAAGAGAGAGAGATGAGATGACTGAGGTTTCTTGTCGTTTTGTTGTTGCTGGAGATGTACCCACCAGGCAGCTTGAAGATAGATATTGTATGTTACTTTTTCTCCTTCTTCATATTCAGTTTGACAAGCAGGCGACTGGACTCTCTTATACATTTCCAGCACATCGTTCGTTTTTCTTGCCCGGGTTGTCCCATGTTCAATATCAGACAGACAGAGCCATGGAGTTAACCCGTAAGCTAACGCCGTCCCGGCCCGTCCGAGACAAGGCAAGGCGAACGGCGAACGGAGTTCGGCTTTGCCATCAAGTTAGTGTGTCATTGGCAATCCATAGTACCATAGTAAAGCGACGTGAAATGGATCTCGGTCGTCATCAAGAATTAGAGCAGAAGAGAGGATGGACAGGATAAAACACTGCCGGTAAGGTGGTGTAAGTACTAACGCCGTTCGATACGGTCATCTGGAAGAACAAACGCTGATTGGTCGAAAGATGGTCTTAACGCCGATAAAGTCTTCGGACATGTAGTCTACTTGACCAGTTTGTTACACAACCGATTCCCCAAATCCTAGAAGGTCTCCAAGATTCTATATGTCTAGTAGTCAGTCAAATATGGTCAAATAAGGACGTCCGGAGAAAAAGAAGAGAGACGAGCTGCTTGGAGGCAGTCTGCACCAAAACAAACAGTTCGTTGTTCGGGGAAGTCCCACCACCATCAACCCTGACATCACCCCCCCTAACCCTAATGACATCCACCATCCATCCATCCCCTACCCTGCAAAAAGGTGAATACCCACCACGAAACACCTCAAGTAACTGTCAAAAAGATAAGATATTGCGGTTTGTGTGGATCGAACACACGACCTTCAGATTTATGAGTGAAGTGGACTTCAGTCTGACGCTCTCCCAACTGAGCTAAACCCGCTATTGTTGAAAGATCTGGGGAGGAAACTCTGTTTATAATTTGATCGAAAGAGATGCGGTTGTCGAACCTTCAAGAGACCTATATGGCTTGAGTGCGACGATGCACATCAGTTTTACACATTCAATGCATTGGATTGCCGAAAGAGTCCTCGTTCTTGTGAGACTCGGGGTTAAGAAAACTCGTTGAATTGGACGGGAGCTATGAAAATCTGGGTATAAGACTGTTGGACGAGAACGACAGGCATCTAACCGTCTATCTACCCGGTGTATACTAACAACCCTCCGTACTGAACTGATCATTATCTATGATTGTGCTGCTCATGGCTAGTCATTAAAACCTAGTAATATGATGCGTGGCCGTCTGGTACAAGTGAAAGGAATAAGCATAATGCCCATGTTCGAGAGAAAAGGCACAATGATGCAGCGCGTTTCTAGAAATCAGACGCTTGGAGAGACACTTGGTCCCGATGGTTCGCTCTTCGATTGAATCCTTCGAGAATAAACAGGGCACTTTAGTCCCCCATAACTAGGAGCAGCTCCCCCGGATGGCCCAGTCTGAGAGTTAGTTTCCTCTTCGCCTGTCGCGGCCATAGACTTCGAATATCCTTCTGTACTGCACCCGGCCTTTGCGGGAGACTGTATAGTCTGGACTAACTGATACGGGGCTGCGACCATCATGATCGGAGAAGGGAAGTGTTGCATCAGTTGGGCCGGAGCGATCCCAGCAGGACTGGGTGGCGGCATGTTCTCGAGGTAGTCTCCGCTGTTGCAATTCAGTCTCATCGGACTCATAGTGACCCGTGGCGATGACGCAGCGACCGATCGAGGTGTGAAGGTTGGAGCAGTAGGGTTCAACTTCAAATGCTACATCGGAATATGGTTAGAAACAGCCAAGGATGTATCATGCTTAAAGTAAGAATAATACATAATTGGTTGATCTATACCTCTTTCTGATGACTTGGAGTGTCCTTTGCCTCGGTTGCCGGAGAGTCCTGCTGGTTAGCAGGTCTAACCTTCAACGCCGTAGAGCTCTTGACTTTCACCAGTTCCGACTTGGTTTTGTCAGGGGTCAAGTCATTGACAATGCCTGAGGTCTTCTTTACTGACGCCGGCTTGGCCTCAGTAGCGTCCTTCACTTTCGGTTTGATGAAGATCTGCTTGGACCAAAGCTCGGCATACTTCCCATTTGCTCGGATCAAGTCTTCGTGGCTTCCCTCCTCCACGATCTCTCCGCCGGTAACGACCATAATCTTGTCGGCGTTCATGATAGTGGATAGTCGATGCCTAAGTCTCCATTAGTACGGGACACAATGGTGATGATTGTGTCAAAACATACGCAACAATGAACGTCGTGCGTCCTTTGCACAGTTTACCAAGTGCCTCCTGAATCTTTTGCTCCGTCTCGGTATCGACTGCAGACGTGGCTTCATCAAGCAATACAATAGCAGGCCTCTTGAGGATGGCGCGCGCGATAGCCACCCGTTGCAACTCGCCGCCGGAGAGTTTGACACCACGCTCGCCGACACAGGTCTGGTAGCCTTTGACACTATTAGCTTCAAAGACTCAATCCCGCAGACCAGATTATCTACTCACCGTCTGTGAAGGTCAGGATTTGCTCGTGAATGCTGGCTGCCTTGCAAGCTTCGTGAACCTCTTCATCAGTGGCTGTAAGCTTTGCGTAGCGAACATTGTTCATGATTGTGTCATCAAAGAGAATAGGGCTCTGCGGTACGACGCCGATTTGGGCTCGCAAGCTACGCGTTGTATTAGCTCCTCGGCCCAACAGATATTCGCTATGGATACTTACCTAAACAGATCAACGTCCCGAATATCTTGCCCATCAATCTTGATTGAGCCACCGGTTACATCGTAGAAGCGGTCGAGAAGCTTGAGCATAGTTGATTTGCCCGCTCCTGTAGCCCCGACGAAAGCCACACTTGTTCCAGGAGCTGCCTGAAAGTTGACGTTCTTCAATATCGGTTTTTTCTTGTCGTAGGAAAAGGATACGTTCTCAAATTGAACATGTCCTCCTTGAAAGTCGAGTGGCGGTGCCCCTTCTTTGCTGAGGACAGTCGGCTTCATTTGCATGATTTCCAATAGGGACTCAGCGCGAATCAGATCACCCGAAATGCTCTTCCCAAGCGAAGCAAAGAAGGTGAGCGGGGAAACCAACTGAGACCAGTAGGTCAGCAACATCACGAACTGGCCTGGAGTTGCTTGCCCTTGTGTAATCTGGCTCACAGCAAGGAAAGCCCCAGCTAGAAGACCGCAAAGCAAAACCATGGACTGGAACGCATAAGCCAGATAGTACCCCAGAAGGACTCTCCGAAACTGCCCCACGTTGTTGTTAACAGCGTTGGAATAGCGGGTTTCCTCATGGCCGATCTGATTGAAAGAGCTGACAGTTGACCAGCCTTGGATCCCGGCATGACGGACGTAATGCTCCTCAAAGTAAGCGCTCACTTGGCTCTTTCGAACCTCCTTTAGTCCTGACAACATGATCGCCGTGATATAACAGAAGACGGTTGCTGTCGCAATGGTGATGAAACCCTCGTAGGGGCCGAATGTGACCGAGAGGTAAATAAACGCGACTCCCATGTCAATGAGCATGGGAATAGCTTGAAAACATATAGACTCAAGCATATTTGATATGTTGGAACCCGACATGATCGCCATCTCGACATCTGAACAGCTCTTGGAATCGTGGAAATCGGAAGATAAGTTGAGGACATGCGAATATGCAGCCGTGGAGATGCGAGACGTGGAGTAGCTCTCAACTGGAATCCATAACCACTGGCGCAACAGCGAAATGCCAGCTTCGGAGGCAACGAGCTTGAGGCCTGCAAAAACGAGAACCTGTGTCCATGGATCCTTGTGATTGACTCCCCCAAGACTGTCCATGACAATTCCTATTTGTCGTGGAATTAGGACATGGATGAAGTTCATGGCAAGCAAGCAGCAGCCAACGAGAAAGACGCGGAGCTGGAGCCCTCGGTTGCCAACGGGCCAGACATACGGAAAGAAGATCTAGACGAATCGTCAGCATTATGAGCAAGTGGCTTTAAGCGAAATCGTTGAAAACGAACCATGAAGCTCTTGGCGTAGGTTACCCAGTTTCCTTTCTCTTTCAAGCGTTTCTCCATCAACTCGGCTGCCTGTCGCTGTCGTCGTTCGTAAGGGGATTCGACGCGATCATTCGAAGGGGATGAGCTTTCGTCGGTTGAATTTGTCGAGGTAGATCCATAGCCATCAGTAGAGTTCTCGCCGTCCTGGTTGGCGGATACCTCGGTGGTCGAACTGCTATTCGATGCCTTCAGCAACCCTTGTCTCTCGGCATCAGTACCCTTCTCCCGCCTGAAGCTGCAAGTAGCTTCAATGTGAGCCGCTACTGCTAGGGTAAGAGCAAGGTACCTGGCGGCGATGGTGGAGATGCTGAAGATATCGGAATAAGTCAGGGTGGATGGCGGTCGAGCAAGGAAAGACAGGGCCGCAATCAGGGGCTCGAAAAGCAGTGCCATGACGAACGATCCAATGAAGGGGTACCACACGGGGGCTTTTGAGTGTACGAGTCCAGCGAATTCGACGCCAAACACCAGAATACAGGAAAGGAGGCCAATGGTAACATCTTGCTCGGCAGGGAGTCTGTGTTGGGTGAAGGATCTGATACCCAAATCAATGAGCTGCATCACGTATGTGAGGATGATGAACACGAGCAGCCAGAGTATAAAACGTCGGCGACCATGGTTTTCTTGTGCTGATTTTGTTTGCAGGGTGCACACAGCTAGCGTTGTCGAAATAATGTAGTAGGCAAAAACGGCCGTAGGATAACCGTAATGAAGACAGAACAATGCCTGTTTGACCCGAGGATCAAGGCTGGCATGGGCCAGGCTGCCGTCCTCTGGGTCTGGCATTGTTTTGACGAGTAGATGAGCGTTGGCTGAGAGGCTCCTGGAGGCAATGCGGCTGGAGTGCTATCGTGGTAAGGGTAAGTGGTGTGTATTCGGCCAAGCAAGGTGGGTTGTGTGGGTGGGTAAGCAGAACTGATC